ACAGTGGAGGAGGGGCGGGACTAATACCACACCGACCAACTGTCACAACATTCTTTCTGTACAACGACATCAACCAGCAGAGCTAACCGAACAAAATGGATGAAAAATTTATTTTCAGTATGAAACAAATTATCTGCGAAATCAGTTACAAGTAAACTGTGCTGCGGATATTCTGTATCATAGCAACGAAACGTCTCAACGGAAAAAACGCTGCGCTGCCAAAACGCTCTCAAGCGCCCACAGCTAGGCGTTTTCAGCAGAGCGTCAGCTGGCTAAAAACGCTTTGGTGGACACAAGGCCTTATGCCGATGATACTCAGCTGTATATTTCTTCACGCCCCGACGAAACTTACCAATTCACAAAATTAACGGAATGCATAGCCGATATAAAAAATTGGATGACTAGTAATTTCCTACTACTAAATTCTGAAAAAACAGAGATTCTTATTATTGGACAAAAAACTTCCACACGCAATAACCTAGAATACTGTCTAACACTTAATGGCTGCTCTGTTAAGTCTTCGTCGTCGGTTAGGAACCTGGGTGTGCTCTTTGATACCAATCTCTCATTTGAAAGTCACGTGTCTAGTATCTGTAAAACCGCATTTTCCATCTTAAAAACATATCTAAATTACGCCATATGCTCTCATTAACAAATGCAGAACAATTAGTTCATGCGTTCATGACATCAAGGCTAGATTATTGTAATGCTCTACTGGGTGGTTGCCCTGCACGCTTAATAAATAAACTACAGCTAGTTCAAAACGCAGCAACTCGAGTTCTTACCAGAACCAGGAAATATGACCATATTAGCCCGGTTCTGTCAACACTGCATTGGCTGCCTATTAAACATTGTAAGTAATCAACAATATTTTAAAATTTATACGAAGCACTAAATGGCTTAGCTCCGCAGTACTTGAGCGAGCTTTTAAAACATTATAGTCCTTCACGTCTATTGCGATCTCAAAATTCCGGCCAGTTGATAATACCTAGAATATCAAAATCGACTGCAGGCGGTAGATCCTTTTCCTATTTAGCACCAAAACTTTGGAACAGTCTTCCTACCATTGTCCGGGAAGCAGACACACTCTGTCAGTTCAAAGCTAGACTAAAAACACATATCTTTGACCTAGCATACACATAATACATTATAGACTTCTATAATTCAATGTTAGGCTGCAAAGATTAGGTCAGCCGGAACTGGGAACACTTTCCTTAAATCCAGATGTACTCGTTACATCATAAGAAGAATGGCATCTACGCTACCTTTAGTGTCTTTGTTTATCCCGAGGTTTGACGGGATAGATCTGACGAAGGAGATTCGCCTGGACCCGATGACAATGCAGTGCTGAAGTGTCAACTATCCTCTCTCTATGGAGGATCCCTTTCCCACTCTACAGATAAAGCGTTGTTGAAAATCCGGTTTGCGTACCCCGAAGTGATAAAATAACATTCTGTATCAAATTTATAGGCAAGACAAGTAGTTTGTTTAGGCATGGTTTGTTGGGAAATTACAAGCCTGCGCACACATATTCAAACAAATATAACTATAGAATAAATTTTTTATGCGCATGTGAACGCCATCAGGTCACAGGTTCGCGTTTAAAGTCTGTTTAGAGAGAACGCCGTCGTCTTAGTGGCCCCTAATGTAATAACAAATGATAATTTTGCTGAAAGTGAATCAATCAAAACCAACTTTAGCTGGAAATAACATTATTCAAAAATCGCTATAAAGCCAAAACAATCTCTGTTACCGTAAATTGTGTGTTTATAATAATAATAATAATAATTCATTACATTTATATAGCGCTTTTTCTAGGCACTCAAAGCGCTTCACATGGAAGGGGGAATCTCCTCAACCACCACCAATGTGAAGCATCCACCTGGATGATGCGACGGCAGCCATATTGTGCCAGAACGCTCACCACACACCAGCTTACTGGTGGAGAGGAGACAGTGATGAAGCCAATCAGTGTATATTAGGGGTGTAACGATATTTGAACCGAACCGAAAAACCGCGATACACCACCCACGATACGTATCGCGATACTCTCATGGCGAACCGAACACGCCCCGCCCCCTGTTGCCCCGCCCAGCCCCGGCTCTTTGCACCTCATGTGTTATGTGTACACAACGAATAGGGCTGTTGCCTTACCACCATTAACCACATATAATCGCAATAAGCTCAGTGTTTTGTTACTTTTGATAATAAGCAAGGTGTAATCTTTCAAATTATGTCTATTTGATCACGAAATGTAAACAATAAATGCCGTTTTGGCGCTCTTAGATGTGGCGTGACAGATATCACTGTATGCATGCGGCAGCGCGGAGCGCGATCATCTCTTCCTCAGTTACAGAATAAACATGAATGGACACCCGAAGGTATGTTGAAAGATACAGTATACTTACTGAAAGGCATCATAACTCGTGTAAACACTCAATCAGTGTTTCAACAGCGGAAATACGTCAATAAAACGCTTAGTTTTTCACATAGCTTTATATTTACCTCAGGCAAGTCATTCACATAGCTTTATATTTACCTCAGGCAAGTCATTCAGTGTCCACAGCTTGCTCTTTCACTAAATAAATGGTATATATTAGCCTATATATTATATTTTACTTAACCTGTTTATGATATCTTGATTATTTAATGTATGTTTAAAATAGTTGTCATGAAAATAACAGCAACTGTGTAAATTATTATATAACATTAACAAATTAGAGTAAAAACATGTTAATGCAAAAATTGCCTTATGTGTAGTTTACATGTTTTCATACAATTTGTTATTTGAGTGTTGATTATTATTATATCATTTAGGCTAAAAGTCTAGGCTCTATTGTTAAGCTTTAATGTTATAGTAATGTGCAAGTAAGGGCTGTAGTTTACAGCATTAGCAGATAATTTTGTTATCCTTGAGAAACGTTTACTTGTAATTGAATTAATTTAAAGACAAGGACACAATTTGTTCATTAAAGCACTGTTTAATAAAAAATAAAAGAACCGAACCGAACCGAGACCTCAAAACCGTGGGACGAACCGAACCGTCAGGTTTGTGTATCGTTACACCCCTAGTGTATATATATATATATATATATATAGGGATTATTAGGAGGCCATGATGGACAGAGGCCACTGGGCAAATTTGGCCAGGATGCCGGGGTTACACCCCTACTCTTTCGAAAGACATCCTGGGATTTTTAATTACCACAGAGAGTCAGGACCTCGGCTTAACGTCTCATCCGAAGGATGGTGCTCTTTGACAGTATAGTGTCCCCGTCACTACACTGGGGCGTTATGACCCACACAGACAACAGGGTGAGCGCCCCCTGCTGGCCTCATTAACACCTCTTCCAGCAGCAACCTGGTTTTCTCAGGAGGTCTCCCATCCAGGTACTAACCAGGCTCAGCCCTGCTTAGCTTTAGTGGGCAACCAGTCTTGGGCTACAGGGTGATATGGCTGCTGTTTATCTCTGTAAAGCTGCTTTGAAACAATCTCCATTGTTAAAAGCGCTATATTAATGAAGATGACTTGACTACTGCAATGCTCTACTAAGCCTCTGCAGACGACCCAGAATACAGCAGCATGTCTGGTCTTCAATCAGCCAAAGAGAACCCATGTCACACACCCCTCCTAATTTCACTCCACTGTATCCCAGTTGTGGCCAGAATCAAATATAAGGCTTTGACGCTTGCTTTCAGGACTGTCAATGAAATGGCACCTCCCTACTTCATGCACTCTTGCACGCCCTCTCCTGCCAGTTACAGTCACTAAACAAACGACTCCCTGTTCCTTCACAACGAGGCATTAAGTCACTTTCCAGAACCTTCACCTTCTCTGCTCCTCTCCGGTGGAATGAGCTGTAATCCTCCACCCAAACTGCTGGAACCATCAGAACTTAAGGCGAGACACGGCAGGCAAAAAAGTCATTTTTGTGCATACCGGTCGATTTTCAGAATTTGGTATAGTTTGCTTTGTCTTCTTTAACAGTGAAACCATAAAAAAGGACAAAAGTTCACATTAAAATGTTTATTTTTAGACATTTTGAGTTTTGACGTCTGTTTTCCTCTAACTTTGTCAAAAGTTAGCATTTTTCAAACAGATATATCTCCGTGAAAAACAGTGCGTGTTTGGTATCGTTAGAAAGCTCATTCGCTCTAGCGTCATGATAGCTAGTCTAAATATGGTAATTTCCTATTCAGAGCTCACCAATAGGGAGAAACTAAAGGCCGATCTAACCCACAAGGCGAAATTTCATTGGCTAAGGAAGATTAAAGTCCATTTTTGGTGACCCAATTTGCCAAAATGTGTCATGTGATGTGCTCCGCTCATAGACTGTAAAAAAAGATGGACGACAGCCCTTCGCTCTCTTCCATCGGTGAAAACTGAAGCTGCCAGAGTACCGATATGGCGCTGACATCTTGAGACTTGAGTCTGCGCAGTAGCGTTCTCGGGACCAGACCTGCGCAGTAGTGAGCAGGAAGTAAAGCCGCAAAATCAACGCTCTGCCCTCACTCTCGCAGAATGCGTATATAAATATCAATAATACGGTTACGCTTTGTTTTTTTTTATGTGTCCTTGAGTGTGATGTGTTACAGAGCAATTACAGGCTGTGTTTACACTTGGTATCACATTAACATGTGATCAAGCAGATCTGATTTTCAGCCAATCAGGACACGGCACATTTACACTGGTCAACATCAAGTGGCTTCTGTATCTGGAAAACTGATCCCATCTCTGTTTCCCACACAATATTTAAAACAAGTCTGTAAAGGAAAACATGGCCCTGGTGTAAAGTCAACCTGAAGTGATGAGGTTTCTTTTAAAAACTTTTTTCTGTTATGGGGCTGTGCATTTGAAATCTCGTAAAACAAGGAGGGGGAGGTTGCAAATACTAATAACGCATTGCATCGATGCCAGAAACAAAACAGTAAAGAGACACAGGGTCTGAAATCAAGGCCAGATGGTGAGAAAAAGGTCCATCTGCAGTACAGACACTCACCTGCTTTTTATAGGGCGCGATGACGCCAATGTCTGTAGCTGGTATGGGGTTGTAGAGTCTCTTTGCTAGCTGGCAACAGTACATCATGACCTGCACTGCCTCCGCGGGATTAAACCATGATGGATTACTGCCCTCCCTCATCTCAGTGCCCTTCAAAACACAGTCGACATTTACAGCAGACAAAAACACATGCAGGGCCTTAGAAGTGACATTTGAGTCTTCACTTACCCGAACTCCATGAAAAATAAAGGGGAAGCCTTTAGTTGGAAGTCTGTTCCAGTGGCAGAGAGCATCCACCACAGCTCTCTGAGAGCGCACACACAGCTCGCCCGCGTAGAAGAGTCGGGAAGGCAACTCCAGCAGAGCCTCGTGGGAGCGGTAGTTATAGACCAGCTTGGTCACCTACAAAGCAACAAGAATTCAACTATATTCAACAAAGGGGAGGTTTTGTGGTGGAGAGCCTGGGAAGTGGTTCCCCATCACAGGATCTGAACAGAGCCACTCGTTTATTGCTTCATCCATTCTCGTAGCATTACTCAATTGGAGTAATGCTACAAGCCTAAATTCAATCTGTTCATCATATAAAGCGATCGAGTCCCTTCAGAAAATTTGGACTAATCCACTCAATTCATATGGATTAGTTTTATGATCTCTTTATGAACTTTTTGAAGCGTCAAAGTGGTCACTGTGTACCGGTCAATGGAGGGACAGAAAGATCTCCGATTTCATCAAAAAGTGCTTAATTTGTGTTCTGAAGATGAACGAAAGTCTTGCGGGTTTGGAACGACGTGAGGGCGAGTAATTAATGACAGAATTTACATTTTAGGGTGAACTAACCCTTTAAATGTTTTTGTTGATTTCAAATCACGATGTGTCAGTAAAGGTTCTTGGTGGAGCTGCTGGAGGGCAAGAATCTGCCAATTGATAGCAAGGGGACACTGCTTATTTCAATACTGAAATTACTATGGACCATTTATATGCCTCATTTAAAAACAATTAAATTAAAAGGTGACGTCAATTTTTACCCAATGTTACCTTCTTATATCTCAGCTTAATATGCAGAGATATTAATAAATAAGCCATTTGTAGGCCACAATTTCATGCTCCCAACTTTGTGGTAACAGTTTGGGGACGGTCCCGTCTGGTTCCAACATAACTGCGCACCAGTGCACAAAGCAGGTCCATAATGACATGGATGAACGAGTTGTGGAGGAACTTGACTGGCCTGCACAGAGTCCCGACCTCAACCCGATAGAACAGCTTTAGGAAGAATTAGAGCGGACACTGCGAGCTTCTCGTCCAGCATCAGTGCCTGACCTCACATATGTGCTTCTAGAAGAATGGTAAAAAAATCCCATAAACACACTCCTAAACCTTGTGGAAAGCCTTCCCAGAAGAGTTGAAGCTGTTATAGCTGCGAAGGGTAGGCCAACTCTATGTCAAACCCTACAGATTAAGAGTGGGATGTCATTAAAGTTCATGTGCATGTAAAGTCAGACGTCCCAAAACTTTTGGCAATATAGTGTATGTTTCAAACATTTGAATTTCTGTAGGCCAAATTATTTTGTGTGGTAACTGACAGCACGTCACACATCCTGTCAATAAAGCTTAACCAGCATTTAACTCAGAATATTGCTTTATATCACACAAACAAACAGTAATCATGTGTGATATCTCCTGACCAGCAGGGGATTGTAGCCTCTCTCGCTGCAGCCGTAGAGCGGATTTCCCATCAGCCTCTCGAGAAGAGAAACCCCCAGTCCAAACACAGCAGCAAGTCTCGACTTCACCACTGGCCCCAGTTGCTTTGGATCACCAGCAAGCACAATCTATGAAATAAAGATGGGTAAAGTCAGAGGATATAGGCTAATAAACAAATGACAATGTTTGTGTTGACCCTTTGGAACTATATTGAGCTTTATTGTTCAAGTCTTACCTGCCCACTCGCCTCAGACAGCAAACCCAGAGGGATCAGAGTCTCGGGTTCAGTGGCCTGACCAGACTCATCCACAAACACATGGGTAAAATGACCAACCCTAAAAACACACGTACACAAAAAATGCAACATCATTAACATCAAACCTCACTGGTTCTTTGCATGTCACGTGACAAGATGCCATTGTGCAAGAACTAATGACGTTATTGATGTGGCCATATTAATTTGAGAGTGAATAACCCTTATATTTCACTCAGTATACAAACTCTTCATCTGTCATCTGGATTACTTTTACGTTATCTTTATGTCCTTTTCGGAGGATGAAACTGTTGGAGCCTATTAGATATGTTTACATTAGGGCATTTGATATTTTGTTTTTCTGCAATATTTATTGCGATATGGAAATTTCACCAGATGACTTGAAAAGTTCAATTTGGAAAGAATGAATCATTGTAGGATGATTGGGGGGATTTTGTAGGTATAATTAATCTTTGTTAAAGCTACAAAAGTGATTCCCTCCTTGTATTTTGTCATTTGATTAACATGAATGACAGCAGCAGGAATATTAGGCTGCTGTCACTTTAAGACCAAATGCACAGATCCAATATAATGATACATATCCGTTTTCCTTCTCAATTGTTGATGTTCACGCAAGCCATAAGCGACTGTGTTTAACAGAATACTCGTCGAGACGGGCATTTTGACATAATCTTTGCGTGTATGTGTCCGTTCAAGCTTCTTGCGCTCGAATGGTTTAAAACCACTTGAATGTTTAAACTGACAGGACCTAAAACACATGCAAATGATAAACCTTCCCTCTATGATGGTTAAACTAATTAATTCAAGACTCCTGTGCGTTTCGAAACATGGCGCCTGGTCTGTATGGATCAACTACGATCCCTGTAATTCACACATCCTGCTGTGTGACTGTAGCGGATGTGCACACCGTGATATCCATGCTAAAACGATAAATCACGCAGCCCTAGTTTACATGCAACAATTTTCATCAATCCGAATGAATCCAATCTGATTTTGGATTCTGAAAGTTCTGTTTATATAAACCCCAAATTTTGCAGTCCGATTAAGATTTTTTGTTTACATGTGCTGAAGATTTGTAATGCACATGTGCCATATTCACACGTCGGTCGCCACATTACCAACCGAAGTGAATGATGACAGCATTCTCATTTGTGAACCAACCCATTTAAGAGTGGTTTAAGTGTCAAAATAAAGCACAATCATTTATCAAGTATATTTAAGAACAGAGCCATGCAGTGCACATATTATGCAATAAGGGCCCTTAAATGTCAGCGTCTTACCGCAGACCAATCTGGTAGAACATTCCAGCACTAGAACAAGTGCAGACAACAATACGATGAAAACTGGCATGTCGGATATCTTCTCCAGCTCTTGCGTACTGACGCAACTCCTCTGGCATAGACTGTAGAGCACAAAATATCATCACAATAAATAAAATGCTTTACTAACCCAGGTCTGTACAGGTCCTGGAATAAAACAGTGATTTCTTTAGTCTAAATGTCAGAATCAGTGTAGAATAGCCAGATGGGCGAGAACAGCAAGAGAAACGCATCTAAACACCAGGCTGGAGACACGACGCACCTCTTCTGGCCTGCAGGTGGCGTTAACACGAGCCAGGCTGGCCGTGTTCAGGTGTCCGCTCTGGTGCAGGCGCATGCAGACGAGGTCCGCGGCGCTGTTAGACGGGGTGCACACCAGCACACGACTGCAGGGGATGCGGTGATGCACCTGCACACGCGCACACACACACAATCTGACTTCAAGACTAATTCAGGAAAAATTGTCAACAAAATACTAGTGCTGTCAGTTAAACGCGTTATTAACGGCGTTAACGCAAACCCATTTTAACGGCGACAATTTTTTTATCGCGAGATTAACGATCTTTTTGGCCTAGCAAACTTTGTAGTTTTTTTCACATGCTGTTACAACAACTAGTAACATTAGAAAAACTACAACACCACACCGGATCTAGCTTGACCAGAAACAAAACAACAGGCACGCCGCACACACTTTTGAGCCGGCCAAATAGTAGTAGGGTAACGTTACGTTTTGTGTGGATGGCGAGCGCGAGACGCCGAAATGGATGGAAAGTTTACTTTTAAAAAGTTGCCAAATGTTTCCACTGAATTCGCGTCAAACGTGTTAATGCACCAAATAAAACCATTAGCGCCAGTATATACCAATATTGTTTTCAATAAAAAAACATTTGCACAAAGCAAGCCGATCCACTTTACCATGTTGATAAGAGCATTAAAATGAGAAAAAAATAATGGGACTAAAAGAAATTTAAGGGACATTTGGAATAGATAAAAAAGTGCGATTAATCGCGAGTTAACTATGACATTAATGCGATTAAATATTTTAATCGCTTGACAGCACTACAAAATACACAATTTATACTACAAACAGTGCTGAGGGATTAGAAATTCTGTGATTAATTATTTACATCCAACCCAACCAATTGCAAAGCTTGCCCTTTTATTAAGAGTTCACTATTGCACGATGTTTATTGTTGTACGGTTTGTCTTTTGACAACTTGCACGAATTGCATTGCAATTAACTACTCGTCCACATAATGTTTATGGACATTATTGTGCTTTGATGTGAGAAAACAAAACATGTAATCTTGGCAGACAATAAAGCAGCAAATTATGACTTGCGTTAGTAAATTGTGGCTTTAAAGGAAGCAATGACTGCTGGATTCTGTTTTAGTACATTTACTGTTATTGTTCCGACTCAGCTTTATATTAAAAGGAATAGTTCACTTCAAAATTAAAATTCTGTCATCACTTACTCACCCCTCAAGTTGTTTCAAACCTGTATGAATTTCTGTATAAAATTATTATAAATTCTGTATATAATTATTCAAAATATCTTCCTGTGTTCATACAGTCGATGGGCCCCATTGACTTCCATAGTAGAAAAATAAATACTATGGAAGTCAATGGGCCCCATATCAACTCTCTGGATACCGACATTTTTCTAAATATCGTAAATGACAGAATTTTAATTTTGAAGTGAACTATTCCTTTAATGTTATAATAAAGAGAAATATACTTGAAAATTGCAAACTAGTGATTGTTTATATGAATGCGTATTTGCTGAATGCCGGCGTTATATGAGAAAGTATTACCATGCTTGCCTTTCTATTACCAATTATTGGAAGCCAATTCTGTTTAATAGTCTAATAATTGTATAAGACCTCTTGTGCATCTGGTCGTCTATGTACTTTCAAAATAAAAGTCCTGCTTCAGACACTTATAGGGCAAAAAATGCCAAATATCAGCCGACCACTAGAGCACACTTGCACATTATGCAATCCTTAAACATTTATTAATAGCATTTGTTTCGAAAGAATTTGCTCTGCCTCGCACATTTCCAGGCACACGCACAAACTGTGTAGTAACTACCTGCAGAATAGCTTCTATGAGTGTAATGGTTTTTCCTGTGCCAGGAGGCCCAAACAAGATGTAGGGCGTGGGTCGACATTCTCCACTCAGAATCCGTTTAATGGCCTCTTTCTGGGCAGAATTCAGCTGAACGTTGAAGAACTGGCCAGGGTTTGGGATGCGTTTTGCAGACAATGTCAAATCTGAAATAGCATAGATTTGTCTGAAATCACATAATGACAAATTCCAAAGGAAATATAGAAGCAAGCAGCAAAAGCCACAATAGAAACAAGATTATTGATTAGTATGCTAAGCTAACATAGCACAGGGCAAACACACACACACACGGTCCACTTCAGAAAGGTGAGCGCTGAGTGGCACTGTCTTCAAACTTGTCAGGCACCTTCAGGACATGCTGACTATGACGTTTCAGCACAAAATCTGGTAGAGATCAAAGTGTAAAAAAAAAAAATATATATATATATATATATATATATATATATATATATATGGTTTATCAATTTTGCAACACGAACTGGAGGTAAGGAACAGTAATTTGTAGATAGTTTGATAGCTACTGTACAGAACTTAAAGATCTCCCTCTTTTCGTTTTCTTTCTTGCTGCATTAAAGATGTAATGGTTAAACTTCTGTTTTCACGCAGTGAGGAAAAAACACTGAGTTTAGGGCAGTCGGTCCGTGGCTCTGCTTCAACTGTGCGATAGAGTCACGAGGAGCGACCAACATTTCTGACATGCCAGAAATTCATCCGACTGTCGGTCGGGAGAGGTTAATCGCCTCTCGTTTCCCCCTGTACACTTCACGAACACTACACGACAAACCACGCACAACAAAGCTGAAAATCGGCCTAATTACTAAAAAGATTAGTAATTAAACTCTGTAACAAATTTACCACAATAAATACAATAAAACTTGATAAATTATAGTAACGGTGATTCAATTCTTAATAGAATTCAATTGGGTCACACATTTAATCATTATCATTTAATATTTATCAAACAATTGGGCTACAGTCATACTGCGCTGATAACTGATCCGATCAGCTCATAAGGGAACTCAGAGCTTATAAAAGCTCAGAACGCCAGTGTATACAATTAATGAATAGCCTGATTCTGTTTTCATTAACCATGTTATAAACACTGGGGGGGCTGTACTTGCTAGTTTTGGTTAAGACACTGATCGTGATCAGCATGAGAAGAGCAATCGGTTGAACAAATGGTGTTACCAAAAGAAAAGAGAATTTCTGAACTGCCGCTGGTGCTATGGAGTTGGTCCGAGAGTCAGATTACTATTCAGGAGCACCAAAATCAGTGCGCCAAATCTCACCAGTTTCCTATGAACGGTTCCTAGGGCGTCCATAGACAGTTTTGGGAAGAAAAATAATAAAGAAAAACCACCATTACAATAGGGGCTAAAGCACTTGGTCCCTGAGAGTGGTGCAGTTAAAAGTGATGAAAATAAAAAATTAATTCCACTTATTATTTTCGGAGTTACCTGTTTTAGTTTGTGTGGCCACAGACACCATCTCCGCTGTCAGTGACGATGAGCCATTGATTGTTTGGGTTGCGCCATTCTCCTGATGACATAATCAGAGCATAGCCAGACTTATCAAGCACATGATCATATATTACGGACTCCAAGCGTGTTTAGGTCTTGTCATAACTAAGATGAATAAATGAACGCGCTCACTTTGACCTCTTCTGGGAGATGCTCTTCCTCTTCCTGTGGACCCCACTCTCCGTTCCACAGGGGCGGTTGCTGTGCGAGCATGCTGGGAAACAAAACTCAACCAAGACAAAGCAACACCAAATATAAACTATTGTTTCTCCATACAAAACTCAAATATTCATCCACTTTATATTTTTAAATGGGAAAAACAGTAGGACCCGGATTCATCAAGAACAAAACCACAATGATTTTTTAAACCCCGTTAACATGCAGGTCGCAGTGACCCCTTTCTGTGTTGATTGAAACACGCTGTATTATTAATTCTTGACAAAATGCATATCAATATGTGATGCACTGTATGCTTCGTCAAAGAGGCACACACACTCGTGTGTAAACAAGCCCAACACGCATGAGCAGCGCATGGCGGAACGAGTGAAGGAGACGCGCTGAATAAAAACACACACTCTCTCTGACAGCAGGTGGCGCTGATGGAACGATATTAATATAGAATAATAGATATTAAAATAGAAATGCAGCGGTTACCCGGGTAACCCCGTAAACAAAAGCAACTGCTGCTTTCTGTAAATGTACCGAACTCGTGTCGAACCGTGACCCCAAAACCGAGGTCAGGGTTTCTGCAGGTATCTTCAAATTCAATTTAATGCCTTTTTTTTACATTTTTAATGCCATACACGACCCATGACTAACCACGGATATTATATATATATTAGGGCCGGGACTTTAACGCGTTAATTAACATTAATTAATTACAGACTTTAACGCGTTAATTAATTACACAAAAAATAACACGTTAAACACTTATTTTTGCTCCGCGGAACGTTTCTCACTGGATGAGGTTCGGCGGACCGATTATACTGGAGCACCAACTATCGTTCATGATGACTTCAGACAACCATGCAGACAACAACAAACCACAGTGAACATGAACGAAGAAGCTGACGAGACCGCTTTGGTTGGCCCTGTGGATGGGAAATTTTGTTATAAAAAACGAACGGATGGAAGCATCGATAAGAGCATGGTTGTGTGCAAGCTATGCAACAAGGAATAATTAGCTATTGCTATTAGGCAAAAATTGCACTGGTCTGCTGGACTTTGTTGAACAAAAATAAACAATATTTTGTTGCTTAAGCTTATGTATTCAGTCATTATTCAATGGTATACTAAAAATCCATGTAAAAAAATTACTTCTCCCTGTTCTCAGGTCAAATATTTATGCAATTAAAATGCGATTAATTTCGATTAATTAATTACAAAGCCTCTGATTAATTAGATTAATTTTTTAATCGAGTCCCGGCCCTAATATATATATATATATATATATATATATATATATATATATATATATATATATATATATATTAATGCTGTCAATCAATAAAAAAAAAAAAAACTAAAATCACACATACATTTCTATAGGTTTATATTAGTTTATATATTTTATAATGCAATCATTTCACAGTTAATCTACAAATGAATGTAGAGACAACATAAAGGCCATTATCACTGATACTAATACAGCTATTGATGTCTGGATAAATGCCCCCTAATTTTAAACATTAATTATAGTCATCCAACATTACAGTGTAATTGAAAGCTATAAATTTTTTAACATTAGGCTTCAAAAAATATATAACTTTTAATTTAAGTGAACTTAATCATACAATCATACAAAAAACATAAACCTATAATACATGTCATATTTACCTTTGCCCTTCCTGTCTAACAGGTAGGACATGTACAGAAATTGAATAAATGTATCAAACGGTCTGTACGGCATAAATTATTAATTAAATATAGACTAATCCTTATTAAAGCCACAAAAGTTCTTTAGTCAAGAGCAGTGAGTAATTTTCTCTGTTCCCTTTGTTCTGTGATTAACTTTACTGACAGAACGCTTTATTGGCTGCTGTCCCTTTAAGAGCAGCCGCTGCTGCACGACATCTCACACGCGCCTCATTCTCACAACTCTGTGTGTTCATTTAAGACTTTAACTAATTTAAGACTGTTCTTATGTTATGAGGATACTCGACAAAACAGACATTTTGGCATAATTGTTGTGTTTGTTATTGTTCGTTCAAGCGCGAAAGAGAACCGTTTTCTGGCACGCTGTCTGTGCGCACGATACTGGTGCGAGTTTTTCTCTCTCTCTCTCTCTCGCTTGGTGTGTGTGTCACATAGACAAGACATTCATAGGCAGCGCGTTTAAAAGCATTTGCATGAATAAGAGTTGGATCATATAATGTAATGCTACCCAAGGGATGACAAAAATGAACGGATGCTGCGTTATGCGTTAAATATTTTAACGCGTTAATGTTGACAGCCCTAATATTAATATATATATATATATAAAATTGTTTTTTAAGCCACGTACACAGACAGTAATCAACAATTATACCACTCAAGTCAGTCAAAAGAGAGACAGTGCTGTGAGTGACAAAACATTGCATGTCAACAAATCATCTGCACAAGAACACAAAGTGAGCTTCAACAGAGGATGTCAAGCTGATGAGGGAAAGTAACTACACGTGCCTTTTACTGCTGATTTGTGGCGGTCAGACTGCATATGAGATTTTACGGCGTAGATTCCCACTGTAGCTACCCAACTTAAATACCTTTTTACAAACGCAGCTAAATCCTTCTTCATTTTGACAACCTACTGACAACCTTTCCCATTTTTCTGGTCTAGTTTTATTCCTAGACCAGAAAAACCCGCGTCATCTCTACATCACTGCAATTTTGCTCTGGGCGGAAGCAATTTCCAAACTGGTTCTGCGTGCTTATCACACTAACGTACATATATAGAAGACTAATGGCTTAAAGCTACGCTGTGTAGGATTTCCTCCCATCTAGCGGTGAAATTGTATATGACTGAATATTACTTTCTAGCCCCTCCCATTTTGAGGACGTTTTAACTCCTACGGTGGCCTTATTATTTCAAATCTGCCGGCAGTCGCGAGTAATCTCCCTCTCGCATTCGTCACGGTGTCTCTGAGTGTAAAAACGCGAAAGGCGAAGCTTGAATTTCCAGGTCTGTCCCTCTTTGTCTAATGTATTTTCAAGATGGATGTACAACATGGCTTCCGCCATTCGAGCGACTCGCTCGTATGTATTCTAAATGGCAGATTCTACACTTACGAGAAAATTAGTTGGTTGAAGTGATTACACATTAATGAGAACATATCATTTTGCAAGAACAAAGTGTTTTTTTTTACTAAAAATCAACTTAAAATATTACAGTGTAGCTTTAAATGAATGACTAATATTCGACTACAAAATCTTTACCCGAGGGCAGCCCCTAACAAATAGTTAGGAGTTCGGTCACAATTGATCGAACCGTTTGGTCCTTCATTAGATTGGCCATTGTAGCAGGAGTCTGATACTGTCAGAGGCTGTGATTCAATGCAAAGATATTTAACTGACTGCTGTTTAGTTTCACACTAAATAATCCAAGACTGTGTTTTTATCTCTCTGAGGAGCGCTAACATTTTATCGACATTGTGTCAAGAACTTCAGAAAGGTGTCGAGACTCGTTTTTAACTGCTGCTCACATTTTTACGCAGGAACATTTTCGGAAATAAAAGTATGAGAGTGTTTTATAATTTGCCAAATGGTGAAAGAAACCATTTGCAACAGAGAGCTATTCCTCAAAGCAATATGACATTGCAAATATACAGTATATGATATGAGAATTAGCACAATGTGGTTCTTACTGTTGTCGCCAAAATGTTTGACCTGCTCCAAAGCGCAATGGCACCTCCTCGTGGTCACCCTGGAGAAAACAGGATATTGGTGTGAGAATCTTTAGACATGAGATGTCACCACTGTGAGGGTGGAGCGAGCCAGCAGCACCTGTTGAAGGTGAACTCCACGTCCAGAGGTTCTCCGAGGTAACTGTGCTGGAAATCAGCATTCACGCGTAAACTCACGTCATCTTCTGAGATCTGGGAGCGTCAACGCACAGACAAATCTCAAGTGACCAAAAGAACAACACATTATATATGGATGTGACGTATAATATTGTTTTATCCTCCTGAGACCCAGAAAAAAAAAGTTTTTTGAATTGAGTTTTTTTCCATGTCATCACACTGTTTAGAGCACAATAAACAAATGGCAAAAAAACATATATATAAAATAATATTTTATTCATACGTTATGCTATGTCCTCTGTAGTGGACGCCAGGACTAAGTTGTTTAAAAAATAATTTTCAATCACCAATAAATTTTGGGGTTTCAGGATTTTTTCAACCAAAATTTGTATAAAGATTATTCTCAACTATGTTATGAAAGAAATAATGGAATAAATTGATACACCATTTTACTTTTTGCAATATGTGGGTAAAATGGTCATAAATTAATATTTCCATTCAATGCAATGTATCTATACACTGTATCTAATCTGCACATTAATGTGTTCTTGGAGCAACATTTAATGAAAAAAGAAGTGTAATAATTGGAGTAATAATTGGCAACATTTTATTAACAATATCTAATATTTCATAGGAATATTGATGTATAATTTATTTCCATATTCACTTGTTGTGTCTCCCAGAATGCCTGATAAACATGATTTTAGTCCTGATGTCCTCTACAGTGGACACGTTTGAAATCAATGCCCTGTTCTGTAACAGAAAGTAATTTTTTTATTTGAAACCCCTTAACATTTTCCTGAGATGTTGTTTTATGAAATACAATTTGAAAAAGTAGTTCAATTTAAATTATAATTACAATATATTATCATATTTATCATATTGCTACATTTGATCACTAAATTAATGTCAGACATTTTTAAAGACCAAGGAGAAGTTGTTTTCATGGTGAAACCTCCAAACATTTGGTATCTCTGAAAAGTCCTGAATGTGCTCTTTACAGGACACCCAGGTTGTGTCATGTGACAATGTATGATGTCAGAGAAATTCACTAAAATATAATGTCCACTACAGTGGACAAAAGTCTATTCTTGGGTCCCAGGAGGATATTGCAAAACAAGTGTTTGTGGAATGACAAGCCACAGAATAAGTGCATGACTCTATGCTTAAAAGCATAACAGATTAATAAATGAGATGAACAGTCATTAGTTGCAGACCTACAAGGAAAGAATAATCTGAGCATTAAGAATAGAAATTGTCAAGATACCTCTGTGATGTAAGACATATACTCAAGAACAATTCCTCCACTACAGGGTTTCTTCAGAACCACTTTATCACCTAGAAGATTAAACAAATTTAGTGTTCTGTACACCAAACAAAACAATAATACAAAAATAGATAGCTATTTTCCTTGTACTGATCACCAATGTTTATTTATTAAAGGAATAGTTTCATTTTTGAATTTACTCACCCTCACATTATTCTCACTCAGCATTATTTCCTATTATAAGTGATTAAAGCTGCAGTCCGTAACTTTTGGCGCTCTAGTGGTTAATAAACAGAACTGCATGCGTCTTATGGAAGAACATTGTAGCCGGATCTACTTCTCTCTGAAAGTCTATGAAGACTGGACCAGTCTAAAATAGTCCCAATATAAACACTTATTATAGGTGTACCGTAGTGATTCAGGATAAGACAAAAACACAGTTTGGAAAACGGATTCATGATGTACTCGCTCATTTTACAAATTTTGAACACAAAATTATATACTGCAACTTTAATATAATTTGGATTCAGTATTTCTCTTGTTCCTCCTCGCCTCAGGAGTCTTGGAATGTGGTGCCTGATTTATTGGGGCTATTTTATGACACTTCTTATGCTTTACAATTCATTCTTAGCTGAATCTTTTTTCCCTAAACGTATACATGCTAACGATTAAAAGGCACAGATTACTAGAGAACATCCTCACCAATGAAGAGGTTTGGCCGGCCCTCTGTGAGTCCTGGCACCTCCAGGTGTAAGTTTACCGCTCCCTTCCTGAGGATGGCGCCGATGAGGCTGAACTCTCTGAGCTCCCTCTCAGCCTCCAGCTCCTCCAACCACAGAAGAGCAGAGAAACGGCGCAACATAGACGACAAACTCAAGCGCTGCAAAAACAGGAGACGAGAGGAGCTATAACAACAACTTAACTAAAAAGTGATGTGTATTACAAAAAGTAGCATTTCAAAATACTTCTTTTATCAAATGCTGAGATTTGAGGTGGGGTTATGTTTGTCCAACCAGATGGAGGGAGTGTTCAAGAAATGTCTTTAAAAGTCATTATTGTGCAATTCTATTTGGTGATTACACTTTTACTCCCAAGCCTTGTTTACACCTGCTATTAAAAAGCCCTTGTTATGCTATTTTAAAGGTTCCTCATTTTGTTTCGGAGGTCTCATACAATAAGTTTACATGCATCCAAGGTCATATACATCGCAGCATCAGCTCTTTTCTCACAAAAACATAATCTAATAATTTGTAATTAAGGTGTATTGAATGTTAAAACGGCTTTCAAATATAATGTTAAGTGGGTATCAATACCCATTTTACTCTTAGTAATCATTTAAAAGTTCCATTTGGAGACATCATATCAGTATCAATTTCAACGTATCGGTATTGTATCGAAAACAAACTAAGTAGTATCGGCCATCCCTAAACAGTATATTGGATCTTAAAGTGACGGCAGCCTAATAGACCTGCTGCTGTCAGTGTCAATATTACTTGAACAACAAAAGACAACAATATGATCACTCACTGCTCTAGTCTCGACTGAATAAATTTCTTAACTTTAATTGCAAGGATAAATCTGTATTTAAATGGTTACAATTAGGACTATCCAGTGTTATTTTACATTTGATTGCTTCATTCAATTTCTGTAGTATTTCTTAACCGAATACTACTGTTAGACAATACCTGAAAAACTTTCTTCTTTATTACATTGTATTTATTTGTGCTATCATTTGTAATTTGATTATTTGTTCTTATTTTATTACTGTGTAGTGTACTTGTCTTTATTTGTGTAATATACAGGTCCTTTTAAAAAAATTTGCATATTGTGATAAAGTTCATTATTTTCCATAATGTAATGATAAAAATTAAACTTTCATATATTTTAGATTCATTGCACACCAACTGAAATATTTCAGGTCTTTTATTGTTTTAATACTGATGATTTTGGCATAGAGCTCATGAAAACCCAAAATTCCTGTCTCAAAAAATTAGCATATTTCATCTGACCAATAAAAGAAGTGTTTTTAATAAATAAATAAAGTCAACCTTCAAATAATTATGTTCAGTTATGCACTCAATAGTCAATACTTGGTCGGGAATCCTTTTGCAGAAATGACTGCTTCAATGCGGCGTGGCATGGAGGCAATCAGCCTGTGGCACTGCTGAGGTGTTATGGAGGCCCAGGATGCTTCGATAGCGGCCTTAAGCTCATCCAGAGTGTTGGGTCTTGCGTCTCTCAACTTTCTCTTCACAATATCCCACAGATTCTCTATGCGGTTCAGGTCAGGAGAGTTGGCAGGCCAATTGAGCACAGTAATACCATGGTCAGTAAACCATTTACCAGTGGTTTTGGCACTGTGAGCAGGTGCCAGGTCGTGCTGAAAAATGAAATCTTCATCTCCATAAAGCTTTTCAGCAGATGGAAGCATGAAGTGCTCCAAAATCTCCTGATAGCTAGCTGCATTACCCCTGCCCTTGATAAAACACAGTGCACCAACACCAGCAGCTGACATGGCACCCCAGACCATCACTGACTGTGGGTTCTTGACACTGGACTTCAGGCATTTTGGCATTTCCTTCTCCCCAGTCTTCCTTCAGACTCTGGCACCTTGATTTCCGAATGACATGCAAAACTGAGCAACAGTCCAGTGATGCTTCTCTGTAGCCCAGGTCAGGCGCTTCTGCCGCTGTTTCTGGTTCAAAAGTGGCTTGACCTGGGGAATGCGGCACCTGTAGCCCATTTCCTGCACACGCCTGTGCACGGTGGCTCTGGATGTTTCTACTCCAGACTCAGTCCACTGCTTCCGCAGGTCCCCCAAGGTCTGGAATCGGTCCTTCTCCACAATCTTCCTCAGGGTCCGGTCACCTCTTCTCGTTGTGCAGCGTTTTTTGCCACACTTTTTCCTTCCCACAGACTTCACACTGAGGTGCCTTGATACAGCACTCTGGGAACAGCCTATTTGTTCAGAAATTTCTTTCTGTCTTACCCTCTTGCTTGAGGGTGTCAATGATGGCCTTCTGGACAGCAGTCAGGTCGGCAGTCTTACCCATGATTGCGGTTTTGAGTAATGAAACAGGCTGGGAGTTTTTAAAAGCCTCAGGAATCTTTTGCAGGTGTTTAGAGTTAATTAGTTGATTCAGATGATTAGGTTAATAGCTCGTTTAGAGACCCTTTTCATGATATGCTAATTTTTTGAGACAGGAATTTTGGGTTTTCATGAGCTGTATGCCAAAATCATCAGTATTAAAACAATAAAAGACCTGAAATATTTCAGTTGGTGTGCAATGAATCTAAAATATATGAAAGTTAAATTTTTATCATTACATTATGGAAAATAATGAACTTTATCACAATATGCTAATATTTTTAGAAGGACCTGTATATTGCCAAGACTTTAAATGGATAGACAAAAAAAATTATGAGATAATATTGAAACATATGGCAGTATATATGGCAGTTTTCCCCCACAATATTTTTCAAGGTATCGTATTGAAGAAATTCCAGTAACACTATTACACAAACTCGAGCACGCGTGACGCTCGTCTGCCGTCTCACTATATGAGGACATGAACTTCACCTCCAGAGCTGCTCTGAGAGTCACTTCGCCAGTATTTCACCATTTCATTTGAGAAAACTCACGTCAGATTCACAAACTCAAAGCTCTTAACTACTACCCACTAAAATAAAAGTACGGTTTAAGGCGAGACACTACAGGTGAATAGGGTAATTTTTTTAACTAGCAGATATCACCATGAAACTTTCCCAGTTGATTACCTACATTAAGATGAGAAAAAAAATGTATTACAAGTTTTCTGTAATTTAATGTTTAAATATGCAAATTAGGCATTATCTAATTAAATATGCACTAATTTGCATATATTTCAAAAAATGAAATCTGAGTATTGGATAAAGCCAGGTTCAAAATTCTTTTTTCATTGTGTTCACATATTAGATGGGAAAAAAATTACAGAGGGATTTATGGATATCTACTTTTGTTATCCTATAAATCAGAATATACTGTCAATAGCCTTAAAAAATGATTTTTGCCATGTTTTTTGGAATAAAATGTTATATAAATCGGGCTAGGAATAATATATTTACAAATCCCTCTGTAAATGTCTTCGTAATATAACTAGGTACAAGACTGGAAAGTTTGGTGTATATAGGTGCTACCGAAGTGGAGATTTCGGACTTTGAGTATGAGAGAAAAGTCATTTTGAGAAAACGGGCTTTAAAGATTTAGCATCAGCCAATGAGATTGCGCATTTGCGCCCTTTTACTTTCACGATTGGTTGCTGATAAAAAGGAAATGACCATATTTGGATCCGACAACATTGTACAGGAGAGAGAGAGCTTTCTAACTGTGTGTGTGATGACAGGGTACAGATCGTGATCGCGGAGCAACGGATGATTTACAACGCCAACTTTTGATGAATTTATGAGAAATCTACAGACGCAAACAGACAAAGTGTAGTAAAATAAAGACCTAAATGTGTATTTCGGACTTTTTTTCACCACAAGTCTGAAAGAAGACATGTTTTTGAAGACAAATATCCCGAAATCTCAAAATTGACCAGTGAAAAAAAACCTATGTTTTTGCCTGCCGTGTCTCGCCTTAACTGAACAGTAGAATGTAGAATTTGTGATTTTGAAAATTTAATTAAATCATTCAAATGGAATACAGAAATCACGTAATAAAGGATTTCATAGAGCCCTCAATTTTATTTTTGTTAAACTTAATATATTGTTAAATTATATGCAGTGTTTCCGCTACATTCATTCTGCCGTGGCGGGCCGCCACACCTAAAATCATCCCGCCACGGCTCCAGCTTCTCGGTCCGATATTGTATGTGTTATTGTTAAGCCCCACTAAAGACATACAAAACATTGTAAAGCACCATAAAGTTTTCGCACTATATTCCAAGACTTCTAAAGTCATTCAATAGCATAATGTGAGGTAAAAATATATATTTAAGTCGTTAAGTTAAAGTTAATGGAAACTCATCTCTGTGCATCATTCTGCGCACGGGATGCGCATAATCGCTTTGCCGCTCTTATTGGCGCCTTTCATGTTATAATGCTTAGGGGAAGTTTAAACACCTGGGATAAGGGGGCGTGGCCAATGTGAATATCACTCATGGGCCACGCCCCCTCCCCCTGGCGAAATGGGCCTGCCACCACGGCTGGAAAAAATCCTAGATGAAACACTGTATATGAGTTTCTTACATTCACCTAACTAGACATGCTTTTGAATAACAAATGTAATTTAACCATTAAAACTGAACCCAGAAAAAATTAAACGGAAAACACAGAATTTGGTGATTTCATCGAGCCCTATGAGCAGCGACTGATGAATGATGGCACTGAAGTCGACGTTACCTCTGCCAGAGCCGGCTGGACAACCAGCACGTCCCTCTTGGCTTCAACACAGTCTCTGAGAGCCTGCGGCACGGCGTACTGCCCCAAGAAGTTTGGAAGATGCCGCCTTGTAAGCCTGTCGAAAGAGACAAAATGCTCAAAAAAGCAAGACAAAAAAATTATAATTTCACCATTCACACAATTATGCACAGTATATTATTGAAGCTCATTTTCGCCACAGAGTAAAACAATTTAAAGGATAATTGTGACTTTTCTCAGAATTGTGTGATATAAATTCGCAATTGCGAGTTATGAAGTTCAATTCCTTTTTTCTTCATAAAGACTTTATAACGCGCAATAATGATTTTATAACTCGCAATCGAGACGAAGAGGAGGGAACGTAATAAATGTAATAGAAGTGGAATGGAATGGAAAAACAACAGTTACGAGTTTGTAACTATACCCCCCATTTTTGATCATAGATCTGAACTCAAATGGTTGTAACTCATGAATGCTTTGGAATAGTCAAAAGGTGGGGTAAGCGATATTTGAAAAACGCTTTGAAAGTTAGTCGGACCGACACAACAACAAATGTGTAGCCAATCAGCATTAGGGGGCGTTCGACGGTGGAGGAGAGAGAACGAGCAAGAGGGAGATTTGAAGACTGTAGAAAGAGAGATGGCTGAGAGACATTACAAAAGAGAAAAGCTCAAAAGAATATTACTGGAAAAAGAAGGGTTATGATCTGGAAAGAGATTTAGGACCTGCGTTAATATTAGAAGAGAGAGAAGCGGGAAGGCCTGAAAACAGACGCGGGGGTTGCTTTGACTCTTGCAATGTGTGTGTAACGGAGGACAGCTAGTGAGAGTTGAGCAGGCTGACGACTGCTAGAGAATGCCGTTTAACGCACGCTAGCGATCGGGGTTCGAGAAAGGGCTGATAGGATTGGAGGGTGAGCTTTGGAGGCGGGTGTTTGTTTGGGTTGATTTCAAATATCAACAATGTTCAAAAAACGACTTTGAGAAATAACATACTGCACCTTTAAAGAGAACAATCAGCAGGTTATTGTAGAATAAGCAGTTTAAATGAAATGAAAGCGTAAAAATAAGTTATAGAAGTTTAACCTGTAAATTGTCAGTGTGCCGTAAGCGGATCATTTGGCGCACTTTCTATTGCCTTTTTTCAGACATATCACATATTTTAGTAATCAATATAAATAATATTAAAAAACGTAAACACTCAAAAAATCATACTGCGAAACTTTTGAAATTCGACATTGCGTTACCATCGGTACTTTAAAACCTTTTGGCGGGCTCAAATTTTGTCAACTTCACATTTTGAACGCAACTTGGTTAGACATAATGTCTTTGATTTTATAACAGTTTGAGAGGCCAAATTACTTATAATTAATATATATATAGCTTAAAGGGGTCATATGATGCGATTTCCTGTTTCTTTAGTGTGTTATGTAGCCATTTGTGCATGTATTAGATCTGCAGAGTTACAAAGCTCAAGTCTCAAACCTAAAGAGATATTCTTTGCAAAAGTTAAGGCTCAGCCACGCCTTCCTAAAACGCTTCATTCGAACACGACCCCACAAATCTACGTCAGTGTGTGGAGAGCGCGCAGAGTTTCATAATACCGCTCAAATGTAACGCAAAGAAAGGCGGCGTAACTTTTATTCTCGCTGTGTTATTGTTGCCGCCATGTCGTGGAGACACTGTGATTTCGTGGCGAAAGCCAAACTACTTTGTTTGGCCTTCCAAAAGAGGACACAATTAGAAAAAAGTGGCGCAATTTCATCTTTGCAAACTTTCTGGCGCTTATGACTCAAAGCCTGTAAGTAAGTTTTCATATTTTAAGAATTCTCTACTGACTATTCAAACGCGAGTTTTGATCAGTATGGAGTAGCGCTTGCTTGTCGTTTCTACGATCACAAACGCAGACATGGTTTTATGTTTACATAGTGTCCTCCCCCCATTCGCGGCGCGTAAAAAGACAGTAAGTCATTATAATCAGTAATTATGTCCCCAATGAAATAAAACCTTACCAGTCTGATACGTTCTGGTCCAGTCGCGCTGGCAAAGTTGGTGGATCAGTTTGATCATCTGCATTTTCAGGTTTAGATTCGGGCTCGAATTGATAAGGTAGTACCGACATTATCACCTGCCAATGTTGCTTTGGGAGCTGATGTTCCAAATATTGTAAGGGCCGTGCCATTTCCGTCACACGCGTACGGTATTCGGGCCAATCACAATGCACTGAATCACTGGCCAATCAGAGCACAGCACGCTTTTCAGAACGAAATCGACGTGTTTCAGAAAGGCAGGGCATAGAGGAGCAACAGTAATGTACGGTATGTGTAAAATAATGACTTTTTTTAACCTAAAACACATTGCATTAAACCAAATACACAAAATAATGTTCTTTTTAGAACCATCATATGACCCCTTTAAAGACACTGCCAGCTTCCAGTCTGAAGAGAACCTCACTGAGGAAGTTAGCTAAAGGAGGAAAGGAAACACGTTTGAGCAGACGATCAGGGATGTTCAGGATGAGATCGGCGAGCGTCACCTGAGGGGAGCCGGAGGAGCCGTGACCGTGAGCACCTGGACGGGCTTCGGCTGCGCTGGCACTGCTGTTAGAGCGGTGTAGGGCATGCTGGGTTTGAGCAGACTCTCCTCTGCACAGCTCACCGACACCTCCAGACGCCTCGCGATGGTGAACGAGGAGAAGTGCAGGAGCAGCAGCTCAGCAGAGCGGCCCAGAGTTCTAGAGCAAACACATCCAAAGAGCATTAAAACACCTTACCATCCGTATCAACCGTCAGCCTGCACACACACGGGTTATTATAGTCAACTAAAACCATGAAAGAAAAAACACTTTCGTTACTTGAAATAAAAAAAAAGTATTTTACTTCAGCTAGCTGCCAAAGCAATTATTCTCATTTTCATTTTAGTTTAACGCGATACACTAATATAACCAAAACTGAAATTAAAATAAATAAAAACTGTATATAGATATTTAAAAAAAGAAAGAAAAGCCCACAACAAAACTACTAAAATGTTAAAGAGGACCTATTATGTTTTTTTTACATATTTATCTTAGAGTGTAATGTTGCTGTTTAGCTCTGCAAAGTAATAAAGCACAAAGTCCCTCCAGCGGGAGTTCTCTATATCAGCGTCAGTGTTTCTGAACTCCCTGAAACGCCTCCATTGTAGTCTTGAGTTTTCCTCAGGGACGATTAAGCTTTTTTTTTTACTGATCGGTATTGACTATCCTAAGCCCGAGCCTTTATTTTACATCAGCTGTCATGCCGGTGTCGTGCCGTAGGTGGCGTATGAACCTTCAAGTGGGTTTGCCAACCAGCGACCTCCATTGAAAGGAAAAGAAGAAGCTCAAATGTGCGTGAACGAGAACCAATGAGGTCTGTTGGAATTATTCAACTTTAGAACTTTGTTAAAAATAAAGAAATTCATCAAAATAAAAATACTTGCATCTAAAGGAAATCTGGATACTCTGGATTATTAATACTGGATTATTATTTTTAAATAATTTCTTTAGTATCATTTTAAAAACATGCTGTGCAGAAGCAGGTCCCAAAGATGTCAGCGCCATATTAGGACTTTGGCGGCTTCAGTTTTCACCAATGGAAGGGAGTGAAGGGGTGTCATCCATCTTTTTTTACAGTCTATGGTCCTCAGCATGAGGTCAATGTAAAACTGCCAAACAAAGTGTTTAAAAATTGAACAAAATCAAAAATATACATTTCAATTTAAAGGCAGAGATCTGTAATATCAAACAACAGTTTTGCCTTTCAAAGTTGTGTCCTCAGTTTGTGCCAACTCCGTCAGGATTTTTCTTTATAATTCTGAATAAATCAGGCGCTGTCATGGTCATCTTTAACTCCGAGGACCCCTTTCCTATTTCCTGCTCATTGTGGATCTCACAGTAGGACACATAGTCCTGAAAGTTTTTTTAGTATTTTTATATTTTTTTACAAACAAACAATGTTGAAGTCTCTGCAGTCCCAGTTGTAGTTGTAACTTTAGTTGGACCTTTGTCAACTCCGTCAGTTTTTAACACCGTCAGTTGAAGGTTTCTGTTCATTTTGAAATAAATATTTGATCATTTTTTTCCATTTATTGTGTTAAAACAAAACCGGACTAAGGTCTATTGAAGTCAAGCATGCAAAATACACTTATGCGCATGAAAAACAAACCAGTTCCAGCTCACCTGACATCCCAGCTTCCTCATCATAACACTAAAACTCTCACAAGTTACATAGTTCAGTTTAGTGCAGCAGAAAGCAAACTGGTGCAAGCGAGAAATTGGTTCGAGACTGGCGAAAAGGTGCAACAAAACTTGATGAAATGAATGTGACTAAAGCTAATGGTGGACACAAAGCCCGCTGGCCTGACCTGGAGGAGAAACTTCACAGATGATGCATTATGTGGTAGCCATATCAAGATTTCAATTTTATTCTAATATATCATGCAGAAACAAAAGTCCCTTTCACACATGCAGTCTTTACTGGTAACAGATCATGTGTGAACAAGACCTTTTCAAATATACCGGTAAATTGGTTCCGGCAATTTACCAGTAGAAAGGGAAGTTGTAACATTACCAGTAAATTACCGGTATATGCGCTGTGTGAACGGGGAATGAAGATTACCTGTATTTTGCACGTACAAGGTCAGAACGCACTGACGTAAGAAGTGCTTTTGGCCAATCAGAAGCCGTGGAAAGAGAAACGGCTCTAGGCCATTCATAAAATTATGACTTTTTACTCAGCACTGTTAACAAATGTCTTCAAATTGGAGTGATACCGAAACTAAAGCGCTTCTCCTCGTCCGGGCTGATGAAGAGATTTGTAAACAACTTTAGAGGTCACTTCCGATAAATGACATCACAGAGTTAACGCTATTTTGGAGCTGGTGTGTGAATGGACCATTACCGGTAAAAAGCCAGAACGCGGTTGCTTGTGTGAACAACACATTTTTGAATTTACCGGTAAAGTCGTTCAGGCAATTTTACGGTAATTTACCGGGATCGCTGTGTGAAAGGGGATGTTGAGTGAGTTAATGCGTTTAAAACCCCCTCACTTGGCCTGACAGCTGATGGTCACGGACACCTTCTCTCCGGGTTCAATCTCCAGCATCCGCAGGGCTTGAGCCTCTTCTCCGTCTGTCCTGCTTTCACCACGCATGTCTTGAGTTTTGCCATTGCTGAGAGACACAGAACCGAGACAGAACTGCTGGCCTGAGTCCCATCCTGCAAACTCACAGCACTTCAGCCTGTGACTATCTGAGCCCGTGTTTCTGTTTTAGAGAGAGAAGCAACAGAAGCATCACGAGCAATCCATTCCAACTCATGCAAAGATGTCACAATGTAGTCCTTTTATTTCTGTCACATTACTGTAATAAAGGCATTCAAGCATTAAAGGAGCAGCACACCTAGTAAGGAAATGTCATCACTCACTCAGTGAGTGACTCTCTTTAATTGGAAACGAAAGAAGTTCAGCAAAATGTTATTGCTCTCATATATTTTTTTACTTATTTGGTGCAGCGCAATCAGTCACGCCACACACTAGTGATGCGCGGGCCGACTCGTAACCCGTGGACCCCGCGGGTCGGGATGGGGCGGGTAAAGAAATTGTCACTTTATTTGCGGGGCGGGTTGGGGCGCTGTCATTATTATTGTTTTTTTTTAATCCATGTATGTTGCTTGCAATTTCCAGCCTATATTAAATATTTGGGAATATCTATTTTCGTATTTTATTAGGTTATTTGATAAGGTTACAATACGAATGCCGTAGCAACTTAACTTGCGTGAGGTCCCCAAACCTGTGGCGTCACGTGACACGTCACGAAAGCGGCGCGCCAAGCAGCTCCGCAGCTCCCGCCGCCAGCCACGACAACAACAACAACAACGGAGAAATAAAAGTGAAGATGGAAGACGAGGTGCGGGAGAAATTGAGGTCGGGAATTTACCTGATTAAACTGAAAAGAAAAATAAGGTTAGGCCGCTAAATCTAATGTTTCGGAGCTGTTCTCAGAAATAGTTGCAGCAGGAGACAACAGTATTAACTAGATCGGCTACCTGAAGTGCAACTCGTGGGAAAAATGTAAACAGTAGCGCCACAAAACGGGCACTTCAAGCATGTCAAGACATATTTGTGGGGGGTCTAAGAAATAAAAAATGGTTTAGCCTATTAGATGAATACAAACGCTGCTTTGTAAATGTTGAAAATGTTTATTAGTATCATATGACCTGATTTATGATTCATAATCGTCTCTTGTTGCCAGTTTACAGGGCGATGTTTCCAAGCACTTTCAGGCTGAAATAAAGGCTGTTTTCATTTACATTACAATGCCTAGTAGTATGTCTATTTAAAGGGGCTATATGGAACTTTCCCCCCAAAATAAACGTAACAATAGCCTTTTTATTTGACCATTTATGACTCAAACATCTCCTGTTGAGCATACTGACACCTTGTCCGCTCACAGTGGGTGCACCTATAAGCCTGTATCTTATTTTTCCTATTTTCTGTCGGGTCGTATTTTTCCCGCGCTGTCTGCGGATGTGACGTCAAGCGCGTTCATGTTAAACGTTTCAGACCACTCTGCCACCACCGCTAGTCAGCAAGTAGCCTACCCTCGCAAGCAGTGCAATGGATTTTGCGAATACACAGAAGAGACCCAGGACAACTCGGACACCAACAGTAACTCCACAGAAGACTAAAAAAGTTAAACCCCTGACAAGTGGCCGAAAAAGATCGAAGATTGAGAGCGACCGGTGCCGAGCAAGGACTAACGTTAGAGTTTCATTTTTCATTTCATTTATTTGTTTATTTTACAGGGACAGTGCTCATTAATTAACAGTAAAATAACTGTAAATGAGCCAGAGTTAGCTCAACAGGCTAATTTTCATCTGTTGTCCCTGGCCAGTTATTATGAAGGCAACCTAAAATCAAGTGAACATCGGCTTCGCATTTGAGCCTTGGAGGGAGCTCAGATACGAAGTGACCCAGAAATGGCTTTCTTCTGAAAAGGTAATACGTGATAAAAATGAAAATACGTGTTCATTGAAATAGCACTGTGTTGTTTTCAGTTCACTTGTAAATGCTGTTAGTGAAGTGTGCACGTACGAGCGCGCGCTGCGAGAGTGAGCAGAAAGGAAGACCAGTTCTGTTTTTTTGGCCACAGGTGTCAGTCGCGAGTTTAAATTTCAGAAAAACGCATATAGCCTCTTTAACGGTCGCGGGTGCGGGGCGGGTTGTAAAATTAGATACAGTGGTGCGGTGCGGGCTGGGGTGGGCCAAATAATTTCATAAAAGCGGGACCCGCGGGTTGGAAAAAAAGCCGACCCGCGCATCACTACCACACACAACAGCAAATGCCAATCCTGGTTTTCCTGCGCATGGGTCATACGGGTTACTTTTATTTAATTGTATGGAGAGAAAAAAACAGCTCAGATACTGTTAAACATTTCCTGTTGTGTTCCACAACAGAAGTCATAAAGGTCAGGTCATAAAGCCTCCAGATGTGCAGTTTTGTTAGCCAGTCAGTTTTTTACCACCGCGGTGGTAATGGACCAAACTACCGGCGGTGACACCGCCAACACGGGTGGTGTGTGTGTGTTTGGTAACAGAGGCGCGTGTTTATTTTAGCATTCCGTCAGTGAAACAACACACAACATTGAAATAAATATCAGTAAATATTGGGAACCTAAATAATATAAATTACATATTATTTCAAAAACATTTGTTTTATATTTCCGACAAAGACGCTTCATATAGCCTACCGCTCTGCGCTTTGAGAGGGATGTGGGACACAAGCAGGAAAGAGACCATCTCTTTTCTGATATCTTCATGTTTTCTCCTGATGTTCCAAGCAACTGACACTTGATGTAAATGGTCTGAAGAAGAGCGAATTTAATCTTCCGCAGTGTCAAGACATTTAGGCTATGGTTGATTTTGTGCAGCCAGAGAAAGCAAAACTAAAACCCCAAGCGTGTCTGAAATGCGCTATACAAATAAACTTGACGCGCATTACCATAATAACAGCACAAACTGTGTTAAATAGAATTTGATGTGCAAGCAAAAAGGTATCAGGTCTATTATATTCGCCTTTTTACTGTGGTAAAGTAGAAAAAAAAAATGCTGTAAGACAAATTACACTCACATGACATACCTCTCATTCAGCAAGAATCCAAATGTTTCCATGGCTGCAATTGAACTGCTAACCTATTGTTTCTTATTGGGTAGTGCGTCAAGTTCAAGTGTTACTCTTTTGGCGTAAATCGTTGCGTACGGACGTCTGCCGGAAGCTAGTTATTTTAGTCGATAAAGTATTAAATATGGATACATTAAATAAATTCTTACACTAACGCATCGCTTCACTTCAGAAGGCCTTTATTAGTGGCTGAAAAGTTAATCAACACTTCTGTTTTTTCACGTATTGATTATTGTAATGCTTGGCTGGCTGGGGTTTCTAAAGCTACCCTAAGTAAATTACAGTTGGTACAAAATCCGGCTGCTAGGGTTCTGACTGGGACCAGTGCAAGGGAGCACATTACACATTACACTCTTTTCTTTATTTTAAGCAAAATCTCAAGAATCAATTATTGAGTCTGTATTCATCTTCTTGAAGTATGTACTATTTCTCATTATGCATGTATGTCGGTATTAATCTTATAATCTCAAGGTAAACTGTCAAACAAAACTGTACTTGTGAAATGGGATCCCCTATCATTAGCTGTACGAATGTTGTATGTAATGTTTATTTGCATGGCCACACATTTTTCTATTTATTTTCTTTATTTTTTTCCTTTTTTGATTGTCATGGCCCCCAAGTATAAGCTTTAGATAGCTTCTTTGGGGACCAGTTCACATACATGATCATCTTTTTTGTTCTCTGGTTTCATTTTAAGTGCATATGAATATATGTATATGTATGTGAATAAAAAAACCTCCTCCTCCTAAACAGGGCGTGGGTCAACTTACACCAATCCTGGAAAAATTGCACTGGCTTCCTGTTAGTTTTCGTATTGATTTTAAAATTCTCATGCTCACCTATAAGGCCTTGAATAACTTGGCCCCTCAATATTTGTGTGAGCTCTTAACCCCCTACACTCCTACACGTGCTTTACGATCTTCTGAAGCTGGTCTTTTAACTGTCCAAACAACACGGTTAAAAACTATGGGTGATCGGGCTTTTTCTTCTTTGGCTCCTAAATTGTGGAATTCCCTGCCCTCTGAGATTAGGAATGCAGAATCCCTTAGAGTTTTTAAATCGTCACTTAAAACTTACTTTTTTAGGGTGGCTTTTATGTGATTCGTGTGATTGCTGTGTTTGTTATTATATCGGCCTTCTATTTTTATTGCTTGTTTGTTTTTACTGCCTAGACTGTTGTATATCTTTCTATTTTCATTATTTTTACGTAAAGTGCTTTGAGAATACTACTTTTAAAGGCACTATATAAAATAAAGTTTATTATTATTATTATTATTAACCCCAGGAGACGCGTGGAGCACTTTAATCATGAATAGATGCGCTTTAATGGACTTTCAGAGACATACAGCCATTCACCCTCATTATAAAGCTCGGAAGAGCCAGGACGTTTATTAATATAACTCTGATTGTATTCGTCTGACAGAAGAATGTCATAAACACATAGGATGGCTTCAGGGTGAGTAAATCATGCAAGAGGTCCTCGCTGCAGCCTGTAGCACGATGACGTAGCTGGTCCAATACGTAGTGGATGGAGGTGTGTTTTAGTGACGTCATAGACGCATGCGCACTACTCAAGTCAAGTCAACTTCATTTATAGCGCTTTTAACAATGTAGATTGTTTCAAAGCAGAGATAAACATATAATTTAAGGTAAATTAGATTGTTTTGGCTTTATAGCGGTTCTTAAATAATGTTTAAGAACCTGTGATAAACGCTGATGGCGTTCATATGCACATTAAGAATTGATTCTATAGTTAGAGTAGGTGTAAAGAGAGTTGGTGAACGATCGCACAAGCTTTGATCTTCCAAGAAGAATAAAGTTAAATATAAATGGTCACTTGAGTATGGAAGCTCTTTTCCGCCACAGAATAAAACATTTAAAAATATATAATTGCGACTTTTTCCTCACAATTGCGAGTTTATTTAACGCAGTTCTGACTTTATATCTCACAATTCTGAGAAATAAAGTCAGTATGCAAGATGTAAAGTCTCAATTGCATGTTATAAAGTCAGAATTGCGTGCTATAAAGTCAGAATTCTGAATTTATAATAGGCCTACATAATTGGGAGTTTACGTCTCCCAATTCTGACATTTTTTCTCATAATTGTGACATATAAACTCGCAATTGCGAATTATAAAGTCAAATTCTAAGGGAAAAAATGACTTATTTTTTTAACCTAAGAATAGTTTAATATCTCACAATTCTGACTTTAGGCTATAATACGCAATTGCGACTTATCATGCAATTCTGACTTTATATCTCCCGATTGGTATTATAAAGTCGAAATTCTGACTTTTTTCTCGCAATTCTGAATTTATAACACATAATTAAGATTTTATATCTCCCAATTCTGACATATTTTCTTAGAATTGTGAGATATAAACTCGCAATTGCGAGTTATAAAGTCAAATTTTACCTCAGAATAGTTCTCTCACAATTCTGACTTTATAACACACAATTGCGACTTTATATCATGCAATTCTGACTTTAGCCTATATCTCCAATTTGCGTAGGTCCTATTATAAAGCCAGAATTTCAAGTAGCCTCGCAATTGCGAGTTTATATCTCATAATTCTGACTTAATAACACGCAATTGCGACTTTAATTCTGAGATAAAAAGTCAGAGTATAGTTAGATAAAAAGTTACCTTTTTATTTCTCACTCTGTGGCGAAAACAAGCTTCTATAGCCTATGTATTGCAGACTCGTAGGCTACAGATCGTAGGCTACAGATCACTGTGGAAAAATGAGTAGGCTATAGCCATTAAAGGAGGAACTCTTACCAGGCAAAATATCAAGCACTTATTTTTTTTTTTTTTTTTTTTTTACATCTGACAAGATTTATTTTCTTGATGCTGTTATTATTTTTGCATTTTCCCTTGAATGTGTACTGGTATTTTAAAATGTTTACAGACTTTATTGTATTGTACCTTTAAAATTACAAAGACAATTAGGCTACTTGATTCATTTTTGCTTCCACTCAACAGCAAATGTGACCTGAATAAAATAAAATGGCTTAAAAAATAAAACTTGCGGTGCTGAGGACATGCTATTAATCTATCAAATTTAGGTTTGAAATCATGCGATTTAAAATGTTGTAAAATTAACTATTTTGCATAGCCTATGTGTGAAACTCGGATAAGCATCCCATTTATGTAAATAATTACTTATTTATCAATAATTACTATTTAGCAGTACTATACTACACAGGTTAGAACATCATATCAGTACAATATTGAGCATATATGTCACTTAAAACCAGCGCATGCGAATTATAACCCAGAGATCGACACTGAGCATGCGTATATGACGTCAGCAAAACACACCTCCATCCAATACGTATTGGACCATCCAGCTACGTCATCGTGCTACAGGCTGCAGCGAGGGGTGTCTCAAATCATGGGCTAATTTTCATTTTTGGGTGAACTATCCCTTTAAGTGACTCATTAAGACAGTGATTTGCTGCCACATGCTGGCAGCTTCATATTTAAAGTATCATTTCATTAAAAAAGGTTAATAAAAATAATTTCATATTTTAATATTTAACATGTATTTAAAACATTAATCTTTATTTTATTGCAATTGTAATTATATTGTATTTTTATTGTAATTATAGTGTAAACACATCTAAATGCAGCTTCTGTGCCCCTTCTGCAGTGCAAAAATGGATTTTGATATTCAGATTTGATTTATTTGATATCAGCCTGTAGTGTCTTGTTATTTTAATTGAATGTATTGATTAAATGTAACAAAAGGTAAAGGAAAAATTCCCCCGGAAATCAATTCAAGGTGATAAAATATCGCCTTTTAATGGAAAAGTTAATTTCTTACACTGCTGTGAACTGACCACTGCTCAGAAAATGAAAATCGTCAGCAACCAGTCAATCATTGATACCAGCATGAAACACACTGCAAAATATTGTCTGATTATTACGATCAACAAAAAACCTGGATTGACAAAATGCCAGAAATATCAATATCATTTTTGGTCAAAGTCACCCCTGTTTGGTAAACAACTACCTAACATGTGTGCGTGGGTGAACTCACCGGATCCAGATCAGCAGCTCCTTGCGGTGTCCCAGTAGGAGAGGCCCAAAGTGTGTTTCCTGGCTGACCTGAAGCCCACCCTTATTCTCCAGCAAACTGTGGATCTCAGCGTCGGGCATTTGCAGCTCCGAGGGGTTTGGACTATCAAATACACACAGAGAGAAGATGTGAAGGGGAGAGAGTCATGGAGTCATGACTGTGATCATGTGAATTAATGTTTCAACCTAGACACGATTAGGACAGTTTGGTTTGTTGTAAAAAGAGTGAATTGTCTTTTATGTTTCCTTCTCTTATGAAACAAAGCAACAAATATTGCACAGGGTAAAAAGCCAAGAATGTAATATTTTAAATAGTGATGTCCTAAGTTTTTTTTTTACCGAAACCAAATTTAAAGTTTCGGTAATTACATTTAACTGGGTAACTGATCTCCTTATTTCATGTACTCGGCTGATAAAATCAGTTCTTAGAACAAACTTTTCCATGACTGTTTTAATTTAGGATTAATGATGTAATTCTCCATGTCTGTTTGGAGAGGGGTGCTCAGGTTGAACGCTTTCCAACACTTGTGCTGAATGGCCCCTTAAAGACGCTGATTGGTACTTGATTGGTTTCTGGACTGTCATTGGAAAAACTGTTGACAGTTTAAATTTTTTCCATTCACATTATACATAACAGTCTGCTAAAGTGTTCGTTTTCTCATATTACTGATATGATTTGATGTTGGTTCTCAGGCTGCTTCTTATTACATGTCCTTTTGTTACCAGTCATACATGTTCCTTGTATTAAACTATGCATAACAACATGGTACTCTTTTGGTTATAATCGTTCACGCAATTTATGAAATTATATTTGAATCATGAACATTCATTTAATACATTGCACACTTTTATTTTAACAGACAGTCCTCTTATTTCTTTCCCTTGATTTGGTTTATTTACTCATTCCTCCCTCTAGTGCGCTTAGGGGAAAAAGCTACCGGTTTGACTCCCATGTAAAGTGATGTATTTAAAGTAGGGCTGTCAATCGATTAAAATTTTTAATCTAATTAATTACATACTCTGTAATTAATTAATCTAAATTAAATCACATACACAATCTTACAATGTTTACATGGTAAAATTTCTGGCAAGCTACGTTTTTATTATTATTGCTTGACACAAATTTCACGATTTCAATTTAATTTAATTTAATTCTTGTGATTTGATGCAATATTGACTCATTTGGATAAATATACAAGATAGGCATTCATTTTTCTCAAGAAACAAAAAATCTCACCCAATGCTGTAAAAATACAGAGAGCCATATCAGCTGGTAGTATTTAAGGTTAAAAATAGCTCAAATTAAATATAATGCGTGTTTATTACAAATAACAACTTTGATATAAGTAAAAAATATAATACATATGTAATATAGTAGTAGGCTACATAAATTTAGAAAAACACTCTATAGCTCTTTTTTTATAGCCAACTATAACGTGCTATCATATGGTCATGAAATGGCTTTCCTGAGGTAACTTAGGCTAGATGTTATGTGACATAATTGTTCTCCAGCTGTTTTATTGACCTCTTTTCGCGGTTGAAAAACACTGATTGATCGAGGAATATACATTTCGGTAAGTTTTAGCCTGCCCTACTGTATCTTTCAACAGTGTTCATTCGTGTTTATTTACTATTAGCTAGAGATGATCGGTTCACGTGCCGCTATAGGGATCTGTCATGTCACATTTACAAGCGCCAAAACGGTATTTATTGTTTGATTTTCGTAATAAAATTGACAGAATCTGAGAGCTGAGATTTTTTTAATATCATAATAACGTCTGTCTTGTCTGTTTCCGTGTCCTCTCTTTGGTGCGCGATTTTTCTGTGCGTGAGAAAATGGTTGTGTGACGTGAGAGCGCGTGAAAAGTTACAAAACACACACACGCACAAGCGCGCTTTCTCTCAGACACACTCACCGACTCACGCACACACTCCTGGATGCTTTGCATTGATGTGGTACTTTAGAGTTGGCGAACTCCGTCAAACAATGATCCAAGCAGCGCGTTCTTGTCTCCCTCCTTTTTACACGAATGGTGGCTACGGCTAGAACGGCTCCGCAAAGGTCAAAACGGAATGGATTAATCTGCGTTATTTTTAACGCGTTATTTCTTCTCAGATTAATTCATCGAAATTAACGCGTTATTTTGACAGCCCTAATTTAAAGGGATCATGAATTGAGAAATCAAAGTTTCCTTGATCTTTTGACAGTTAAGAGGTCATTGTACTTTAAGAATATCCTGAAGGTTTCAGAACTCAAAACATCCGTGATAGTCCAAAAACAGCTCTTATTGAAGCCGAGCTCAGAAAACGACTCGTTTTGGCTTTTGTCACATTATTACTAGGGGTGTGAACCTACACTGGTCTCATGGTTCGGTTCGATTACTATTATCATGTCATCGATTCAGTTCAATTCGATATCACGATGCATTACGATGTACCGCATCCATTTATAATCACGCGTAACAACACCACAGAATAATTGTAATTTGACCATCGGGTGCGGATACTTAAATCAGAGAACATTATTGGGGCGGGTGGATGATTTGTATTTGGCTGTGGATTCGGGTGACGTTGGAGCTCATCCGCGTCCTCTAAAGCAGTGACTCTGCCAGGCGTTCACAGCTCGGGGTGAAAACGGCTAACGTGGTTTATCAAGTTAGTGGTTTTACCTCCTGCAGATTCTATTTGTGCGTGACATGAGCGCACACAGCGCGTGTCTCCTCCAGGTCGTGCTTACGGGGTTGTTCATAAAAGCCGAAATGTGCCCAGATGTAGACTGTTAAAGTAGTTGGAGCATTTTTAATTACTCGCACTCGCGTCTCACCTCCCTCTGCCATTGTGTGCTACCGCGACAAAGCACATACGTGACAAATGACGTCAGAAAAGAGTCAGTACATTATAATCGGTTATGGTCTATTACTGAACCGAATCGTCCTCGTCTGCTTTGCGATGCATCGTAGAAACGATTAATTTCGACACCCCTAATTATTACGTCATAGTGCGAGGAAAGGCAGAAGATCAAGCCCTACTTCTACATCATCGCCTCTTTAGCCCGGCCCACTGATCCGCACATGTCATATAGTGGTAAATACGAGACAGACGCAAACACAGGATTACTCCGGCAATGAAACCATAGAGCCACCTTTGAGGATTACAAGCGGTTTTGAAGTGCAAAGTTGTGGAAAAACACCCTTTGCATTGCTTTCCTTGTGATCGATTACATTAGGAAAGCATGGATGAACTTTCTTTTTTAACGTTAGTAAGGCACTGTTTGTTTAATTCCCCTCTCGAAGTTAATTTAAGCTGACTAATGAGTTTTTGAACATTGAATGACTTTTCTGAGGTAAATATGACGTTATTTAAGGTTTACAAGCCGTTTTATTGATGCCTTTCCGCAGTTGAAACACTGATTAAGCGATTACATGTGACGTGATACGGATTTCAGTAAGTTAGTAGTATATCTTTCAACATACCTTCCGGTATACATTTCGTGTTGTAACTAGTTAGGCAGAAGAGATGATCGATTCCACATGTGTAATGGTTGGGATGCTAAAAATTATTTTAGTATACAACTGAACAAATTCTGTGAATGGACAGCAAAAGGCATGTGAAATTTGTCGGTTTTCTCGGGTAAGCGTGACAAACGTGGCCGCGCAGGAGCGAGGGAAGGCGTCACCTGTGCTGAACGGGCGTCATGCAGAGAGCTCTCCAGCAGTAGAGCGACTGACTGCTCTCCAACACCACCACATTCACCACGTCACCGCGAGCAGGTCTGAAGCCCGACGGCACCATCAGAGACTCCAGGCTGAAGAACACGCTGTCTTCCACGACGCCACTGTTGCCTTGTGTCCTCGTCACACTGACCTGAGAGACAGACGGCACGAGAGTCCTGAGCAACTCTCAGTACAAACGACAATAGCTCGACTTATCACAACTAAACTCCCATTCCAGCTCTGGTTTCTGCATTCGTCAAGTCACCTTCATTTTTATAGCGCTTCATAAAATACAGGTCGTTTCAAAACAGCATCATGGTAATAAACAGGAAAATAAATAAATCAATGATGCAAACTTCAAAAATGGTATAAATTCAAATTCTGCTTTAAAGCAATAGTGTCATTATTCTATTCTCTATTCACGAAAGAGAACTGCCCAGCACAGAAAACAGCACTTCTCTTTCGTGTCTACTTGTGCTTGAATGGTTTAAAACCACATTAAAATGCACACACATGAATCGATAAGCGGAATAGAAATATATATATTCGAACTCAAGGGTGTCCAAACCGGAGGGCTGCTCTCCTGCAGAGTTTAGCTTCAGCTCGCCTCAACACACCTGCCTGAAGTCTCGAGTCTGCCTAGTAAGAGCTTGGTCCACTGGTTCAGGTGTGTTTGATCAGGGTTGGAGCTGAACTCTGCAGGACAGTGGTCCTCCAGGACCAGGATAGGACACCCTTGTTCTAGCTTCATGCATTCTTTTTTATCAACACTTGAATGTGGATAAGTTTCATTAAAGAAAGCAACATTTTGAGCAAAAAGCTGAGAAAAATCACATTTTTATTAAAGACTACATCTGGATCGGATTCAGAACGATGATCAAAACTCAGATGGAGTAGATCGAGTCCATCAACACCCCCAAAGCTTCACAGTCCTACAGCTTGTCCTGGGTTGACATTGCATTCAGTAACATTAGGCAGTTTTGATTTACAGTCAAACCAAAAAATATTCAGACACCAGTTATAATTTTTTATATTGTTTTACTAGTGGGTGCAGGACACTATCATTAATTTATGTAAGTGAGGATAGCAGAATAAAGTAAACTGTGACATATTATATCCAAAAATTCTTTATACAGTGACTACCAGTAAAATTTATAAATATTTGGGACCAAAAATTATTCAGACACTTTGACCAGACCATGTTTTGCTGAAGTGTTTTTTCTTTAATTGCTAATGGGACCTTTTCACACCACAGACTGAACACCATGAAGAATTGCTTAGTAATTGTTTGACCTAAACTGGTATTTTCTAATCGTCTAGTTAAATTTAACAGCTGACAGATATTCAACATAATTCATCTGTGAGACAGTCTAACAGAAGGATGAACAAAACCAGTGAAATATCAACCGATTTGATAACTCTAAATTCTTGTCATATTTTATTACCATTTTCTAAACTATAGCGGAATGATAATGTGAGAAATGTTGAAGGTGTCTGAATACATTTTGGTTTGACTGTTTAATGTTGATGATCGCGTTATTTTACATATGCATATGATTATGAGATCGCTTGTTTCTGCTTCTTTTTCACATATTTTTTGATCAGTGTTGGATTCAGCACTTTTTCAGAAGATGCGCCCCGTACCGTTTAACAGTGAAAAAACACGGAAAGCCGGAAAGATTCTGTCGATGCCGATTCCGGTATTGGAATGGATTTTAAACTCCCTACCCTACCCTGGCCAGGACATCCCTAAGTGTAATCACTCTTGACTTTTAGAAAGCCCAGATTTCCGCACATGCGCAGCGTGAGAATGACTGACCCCGTCCATGCGGCGGTAGCGCAGTGGAGAAACGGCTTGAGCCTGACTGCTACATTCTGCAGGACTGACCACATACTGCGCCAGCACCCAGTCACCCTTCATCGGCTCGAACCCTGAAACACACACACACACACCATCAACACTCTGTGAAACTGATTTAAAAACACTGTTGCACATCTTTTTTACCATTTAAAAAACTATTTGTAAATATAATATTTTTATGTATTTTACATATGAAATTCTTTTTTTGTAGTTTTTTTCAGTTTATCCTCTTTTACACAGCCAGGATCAGCATAGGCTTTTTCTTTGTGTAGCATTCGTGATCTCAGCAAAACCTAAACGTTTTTACACCATTTGATACACCAGAGAGAGAGACCGGCTGCAACAAACCCTGTAAAGGGTTCAAATTCAAACTCTGTTCGTCATAGAAAGAGGTCGCATCACTTCAGAAGACCTGGATTAAACACCTGGAGTTCATGTAGATTACTTTTACACTCTGTGTCCTTTTTCGTGCTTGAAACTGTTGCACCCCAATGACTTCTCAGGACAAAAACAGCTGAAAGATTAAAGCTTCACTATGAATTTGGGTAGCTGGCTAACTTAAATTATTATTCAGTTTTTATTACAATCTATTGTTGAAACATGTAAACAGTGGCTGTACTAAATACGAATTGTTTTGACAGATTTATTCAAATACATTAACCTGTTAACTCTCAGTCCCATTTTATGAGCACAGATCTGTAAATGACATTTCCAGCTTAAACTGTTATAAATTATGCTCTCAAGTTTTTTTCTCTTCTAGCTGACTAATGAGTTTATAGTCATTGAATGACTTTTCTGAGGTAAATGTGACTTTATGTGACATACTATTGTTTACAAGCTGTTTTATTGACATCTGTCCTGGGTTGAAACACTGATTAATCGATTATATGAGACGTGATTGATTTCAGTAAGTGGTTCTGTATATTTCAATATTCCTTCTGATGTTCATTCATGTTAAAGGTGCAGTGTGTATTTTTAGCGACATCTAGCGGTTCGGTTGCGAGTTTGCACTAAGGGCTCAGCCCACTGCTCACCCCTCCCTTTCGAAGAAGCTACGGTGGCTAAAACAGGACAAACATATCGTCGTCTGAGACAGCAGAGAATAGCCAGAGTAAGCCAAGAGTGTGTAACATTATCACTGTTTCTCTACCACAGTCCATTATAAACCACATCATGGATAAAGTTTACAAAGCCATAGTCAGGTGAGGATCAAGGGTCTTAATATATAATATAATAATAGTAATCAGCTGATTGTCTCACAAACGTAACCAGCACATTTATCCCCACATACCAAACCCATAATACAGTGAGAGTATGTTTAGCTGGCTAATATGAGCTGTTACTGTGGCTGAGCTGGTTAAAGCGTAAAGCCTTGTTTAAACTCGACGCGTCCGCATGAGCCCAAAGGTGCGCGCGGCAAAAATTACGTGATTGTAACAGCGCGCGCACCTCCGCATCCCCTAGACACCATTTACTACACACAATAGGCTTTTTTCTCTGATTTTGAAAACTCTTCGCGATCGACTTAAAATGCTTCCAAGATCGACTTGTCGACCGCGATCGAATGACAAGAGTACTAATCAGCTGTCTCACGAACGTAACCAGCACATTTATCCCCACATAGCAAAGCCATAACACAGCGAGGGAGAAGAACTAAGTTACATGAAACAATCCAACTACATATTTTACACCACTGACAAGGGAAAAGTCACTACTCACGGTGTTTATGGCTAGCTTCTTCTAGCTTCCTGCGGCTTCTCTTTCAAGGTAGTGACGAAACGCGCTCTGTAGCGCTGTGTGTTCGCTGGCGGCTACGGTAGAAACGTGACGTCACAATATGTCGACCTTCATAGAAGGGGGTGCCCGCGGTTATGTACATATAAATGTCTCATTCTAATAAAAACATTACGGTTTATTAAGTTCTTTATACACCACTGAAAACATAGTTATGGATGTCATATTGCATTTCTGTTAATAGATACTCAAATTTTACACATTGCACCTTTAATTGCTATAACTAGTAGTAAAGAGGAACAGACAATCGGTTGAATGTGAAAGGTCAGTTTAAATGCTGAGACTGTTTCATAGCAAAAGAAATGCACTAAGCATATGGTGGTTATTGGATGGGAGGCGTTAAAAATAATGTTTGTTGTCTGTTCACACATTAACTGAAAACAGCATAGATTAAAATATTGAATTTTGGGATTTAAGAATCAATATCGTTCATTAAAAAGATGATCGTATAAAATCAAGAAATTGTAAAAGCCTAATTTCAGCCATATCCCAATGTTTGTTTGTTTTTTGCTCTTTCTGTAAAAAATAATAAAACAGTTTTTATTGAAATGTACAAAATTTCTGTATTTCTGCATTATTACTAGCCTAAGAGGATTGTTGCAACTGGCTTGCAAGCCCCTGGATTTTAATAACAGCATCTATTCTCCTTTCTCTTTATTACTGTACCTCTCCATGCCTGTGAAGACCAAGTATCAGGTCATCCAACAGGTGTCACTGACATGAGCGCTTGTGTTCATCGATGTCATGTCACAAACAATGTGACTTCAGAATAAGTTCAGTTTTATAGCTCAAACTAGTGTTATTATGACGAAAACTTTCCATTGACAACCTTTTTTTTATGACTAACGATGACAAAACAACACCAACGTCATTAAACGATAACTGTGATTATATCAACATGCAATTTCGTTGACAACAAAAATTAGACAAAAAAAAATACTAACTTTACCAAAACACCTCTGGTTTTGTCCAAAAAATATTACTAACTGTTTTTAAACAAGCCTCTGCGAGCTTTCATGTTTGCGGTTGCCAGATTTAAGATTTAAAAATCGCCCAATCAGAGCTTTTCTTGGATACATTTTCTGCCTGGTGTTCTTTTCACTTAATATTTGCAATCTGGCAAATATTCCTATGAGGAATTTCTCATTCTCAACACATTTGGGAGAGAATGTGTTAATTTATGAAAAATAGCCTATAAAAAAAAAACTCAGGTAAAGGATAAGGTAAAATAAGCCACGAGTAGGAGTTAACATCCTCTAGATTTGTGCTTATACTGTATATGAAAGTGCAATAATTCTGATGAAATGTAAATATACGTTTCTTAAATGACAACAATCGACATGTTTTTTTGTTCAAAATAATCGTTAGCCGATTTATCAATGTAACCACTAAGTTTTCATTATCTAAAACACATTTAGTCGACTAAAACTTGACTAAATATGACAAAAACTAAAAAGAACATTTGACACAGGACTAAGACTAAACTTAAAAAATAGCTGACAAAATTAACACTAGCACTCAATAAATGCTTTTTTGGGGAAATTCAATCATGCTGGGGAAATTGTTTTGTGTTCTGACAGTTACAGATACATGATAAAAAGTGAATAAACGTCTCTTCTGACCTTCGCAGAGAGCCGATCGTGGGAAAAACGTAGTCTGGTTTATAAGTCCTCCGTCCCGATCACATGACGTCACTGTTCCAATCAGAGGCCTGGGTTTGGCAGAGTCCTGTTTCAGTGCCTCTGATGCTCCACTCTCCCACATGTCCTTCTGTAGCTCCACCTGAAATACACACACACAAACCAAAATCAACAACACTTCAATAGAAAAAAAGAAGCTCATAATAGTAAGAAATTAATAAACATCTAGACTGCACAATCAGTTACTTTTCACACTCTCACAACAACTATAGAAATACCCAATAAATCAGTGATTCTCAACCCTGTTCCTGGAGCCAGTATGTGTGTGCGGTCAAAGCCAGATCTGTCCGTTAAAAATAGACAGATTGTGTGTCTGTAGTCTTTTTATTTTTGTAACACTTATATTCACTTATGAATCGCAATTTTACCTTCTTCTGGCGATTCACAAATTTCAAAAATCGCTATTCTAAAGTGTTATATTTCATAAACTGTACTAAATTTAACGTAAATATGTAGGTAAAAATCCTGATTCTGAATTCAGCTCTCTTTCACAGCTTATAGCACTTCAATGGACATATCAAAGTATTCATTTTGATAAACCACCAGTTTAAAAAGTCTAGGGGGCTGAAATATTACCAAACATATATATATGTGTGTGTGTAATGTAAACTGTAAGTATTTTGTTGTATTTGAACAAACCAGCCAGAAAGCAGGAAAATGTTTAAAATAGTTTGAAAAAGTTGGTTGACCCTAAATGTTATTGTTTTACTAATAAGCTCTCCTTAATACCTTATGTTTGTCATTTCAATTGAATTGACAAACATGTCGAGGTAAGCAAGGAGTCCTTATATCAGTAAAACTTTCTTTCAGTTTTAAAGCTTTATTGAACACAAATATTAAGCCAATTAAGAGCAAGAAGATATAAGAAGAGCAGATGTAAGTCAGAATGCCAACTGTAAATGTGTAAGTTACTCTATGCTTATTAAATGGACATTCATCTCACCCTGAGCGCCCTCCACTGTTCATGAGCTCCTTCCCGGACGGCCAGGGCCTGAACCGAGTCTCCCACACACAGCACGGCTCCTCCTAACACAACTGCTGATGTGAAATACACCGCATGATCTATGAGACCATAATCCGCGCACAGATGCGTCACGACCCCCGTCCGCACCTGCCGGATCTGCGCTACACCTGGACACACACACACACACACACACAGAGTTAACAGCTCAGTCTCACCTGTACGCGCGGGGCCTGCTTTACACTCTACACGTTCTCCACTAACCCTCAGAGTGAAGATCCTGCTCCTCCTCATCCTCATGAGCTCTGCGCCACAGTGGGGAAAGCAGCTTAGACATGAAACACTGCACGACGCTCACCATGATACTGTCTGTTACCAAACAGAGCTGACGTTCACCAATATTATCACTTCACAAATAGCACAAATTTTGTACTCTCTATATGGCTCTGGTTAAACCCACAGACGCGAAGGTCCGTGAAGACTGAAGATCGTGTAATGACGTAGGGCTAGCTCATTGGTCGCACGTCAGAGGCGCCCGCGCCATTGGATGTGCAGTTGCCGCAGCACCGCCTATGAGCGAGCCAGATGCTCAATTACCCCTTTTCCACCAAAAACGAACTGGTTCGGAACTGGTGCTGGTTCAAAGTTGGTTCGGAGTTGGTTCAACTTGCGAACCTTCTCAGAACCTGTTTGTTTTTCCACTGACAAGAGCGCCCAGCGAACGACGTCGTTACGTCACTGTGTACGTCGCCATACATCTTAGCTAGAAACGCTTGCAAGTACAACATTACTTTGGGATTATCTCTAACTCGTGAACCAAGAAGGCTTTAAAAACAATTGAAATATGTAAGTCTTTTAATCTTTTCCTTTGATATGTAATCTTTTCTGATTAGTTATGTACTCCTGTCGTGTGTATTTTTTTCTTTCCATTTATTTGTTCTATATTGTGACTGTTTTCTCCTTTGTTTACATAACGTTTTCAATAAAAAAAAAATGATAAAAAAAAACTAGAAACGCTTGCGCTAACTTCAAGCATAACAATTACAATGGCGGACTACATCGTGTTTCTGCAAATGTTTCTCCTGGCTTTGCGATCCTATATTATGTCAGAAAATATGTTATCTAAACCCGCCCCCAGCCCCCGACGTAAGCATGACGTGGTAAAAGAACGGTTCTAGTCCAGCAAAGAGTTGGTGCCGCTTTGGAACCAGTTTTCCTGGCCGAGAACCGGTTCTTTGGCTGTCGAAACACAAAGAACCGGTTCGCGCGCAGGCACCGGCTCCGAACCGGCTCTCAAAATGCGTTGGTGGAAAAGGGGTAAATGTGTTAGCTGTGCAGCTACAAATGCGTTTTACATATAAGCTTCAGTAAATCGAGGAAAATGAGACATGAGTTTCCCTGCACATTCACTATATAAAATTCACTGGAGGAAAAAGTTCACGTGGCCGTCGTCAGATTTGGAAGTCGCTCAAAAGGCTCTTTCGCGGTTGTGGCTTCAGTCGACTTCAGTGAGGCGCGGTGGTTTATGGGATGAGTAGTTCCTTCCCTCGGAAATGAAAATATGTACACAGTACATATTGTACACCTTGTACGGTTGTACACCTTTGACTTTTTTTTGGATTTTCTCTTCGTTTTTTCACTCGAAATGATATGTTGTATGCTTATGAGTTCAGCCGTGGCTGGTTATCCTCAGACATGCTCTAAAACTCTTTAGATACGGATTTTCCAAAACGTCAATGGGAGAAATGAATGGGGAAATTTACTTCCGGCACCAAAGCTCTCTCGGGCTGTGGGCGGAACTGTAAATATAAATCCTATATTTTGCTAAAATATTTGTTGTTGTTGAAGAATATAAATGTGATAGGCCTATATGTAGAATTTCAAACCTACAAGTGTATTTTTATAGCGGTTTTGTTTTTATTTATTTTCATTTTAAGTTTAGTGATTTTAATTTGAACTACTTCTTTAAAAATCATTATTTTGTTTTTATGTGATTTGATTTGACCCTTTTTTTGCACATAATAGACAGACTGCAAGGTTATTCACTATGTTTGTTTTCATAGCCTTCAATATGAACATTGTTTTTTTGGGGTTTTTTTGGCCATATTGCCCAACCCTACCTTATGGCCTGCTTTTAAATGCTAAATTTTCCACCTTTTAGCTAAGCAGTAATGATACATTATTATCACTGTTAAATGGTTATTTAACAATTAGCCTACATTCAGTCCTGCATTACTAATTCGGTTTGTTTGCGACAAAACAAAAACCCATTCAAAAAGCCCACTGACATCAGCACAATGGAACCGCAAGTGCTAAAATGCTAAATAATGTCCTACAAAAATACATCATCCCTTCAGGAAAAGAAACACCTGACCAACCCATACCCAACAAACATGCCACACAGAAAGACATCCTGGCTTATTCAAGGACTTGAACTGGGGAGGCGAAGGGCTCTCCACTGAGCCGCCCTAGAAGTCCCTGTTCTCAAGAGACAGGCACACAGAGGAGAAATATCATACACATGATTTATTTATTTTTTCTTACCCAAGCACTCTGTCAGCTTTAAAGTCGACTTTCTTTCTCTCCTTGTTCTGCTCTGCTTTAACCAGTTTCTCTGGCCTTTTCCTTTCCTTACAGGTCAAGAATGCTTCCAAAGTAATTCGAGTAACATTTGCTACCAAAAATAACAGCTGACCATTACAACAGTTTTGAAAAATAATAATCAATACAATGAAATTAATTAAAATTTTACTTTACAATCATGTTCTGTGACACTATTTTCTCTTCCTTCTCACCCCAGTTTCCATCAAATCCTCCGGCAAGATCTCAAACTAATTTTCTTCTTTCTTCATAAGCCCACAGGAAGAGTGTGGCGGTACCTACAGTTGCCATTGCACACCTTACGTAAATAATAATAATAAAAATAAAACAAAATATTTCCTTTTAATGATGGGAGAAAAAAATCAGCAGCAGCATGTGCATTTGAATAATCTTTCACATACAAGATTGTCTCTGTCAGACTCAAAACACATACTGTCAGTATTTGTTTAGATTCACAACACACAAAAAGCTCTTTCTCAGACCAGACTCGAGTGATATTTTTGGAAGCAGGAAAAGTCACCAAAGCATTTATCAACTTAAAAAAGAAGAGAATTCAATTTACATTACGAGTCGGTGCAAGAAGGTTTTGTTCACTTAAAAGATTCATTGAAAACACAGATATGACCAACAAACACAGAGCAGTTCCTAATCAGGCTGGCCTTGACAGACACCACTGCATACATACACTGAACATATACCCTATATAAGTGTAAATGACGATGATAATGGTGATAGAGAATCATAGTACATGTAACATGAGCTTATGCTGCTCTAATTGACTTACTGCTGATATCAAGTGTTGTTTACATTTAAATGAGCCTCAACATTCTAAGTCAGTAGCAACAGAAGTTGACATTTGAAATCAACACAACTGTCCCTGCAGCCTTGAAGTCTGATCATACGTGCTACAAGCTCTTTACAACTCTTCAGTTTGGTAAGTTTCTTCAATTTGCCTAATTTGGGAAGTTGTTCTTTGGTCATCAGCATGCGTCGCTCAAGAAGAACCAGGGCTCGTCCCACACACCTGAGGGGATTCTTGGTGGAGGGCGTCTCTTCCATTCAAGATCTTTCACAGCTGGCAGCCGTAGTCAAGTTAGATCACAATTACAGCCGCACCTCTGTGGAAGTTCAAAGACCCAACGGTTTAGAAGAGCGTTACCTGCAGAACGCTGCTGTCCTTCCCGACATCCATCCAGCAGCCTCAGTCTCTTCAGTGGACGTGTGTCAGCAGGAAGAGCCTGTCTCCATCCATGGCTTCAATGTGCAGGGCTATCAGGACATCTACCGCTCTGTGGTGGAGCCCATGAGGAAGACACGCTCTGGTCGGCACCATCCCTACAGCCTTGAGCTGGGACTGAAGATCAAGCAGCGGCTGTGGGAAACCCTCAACTGCCCCTCACTGGTGGAGACGGAGCAGCCTGACGGACGTGTCCTGATCACGGAGAGCTTCTCCACACCCAGCAGAAGAAGCTTCGCTCCACGAATCGATGTGGACATCAGTGAAGAGCCCCTGCCCGAGGAACCCAGAAGAAAGAAGCCCAGACACTGAGTGGTCAGTGTCACATGGAAGCGGGGCCTGTGCATGTAAATAGTGTGTATATAGTTATCGAGTGAGTTTAAATTTATAGAGTAAGTTTTTGTTTTGATGAATACGTTTTTAGCACACTGCTATGAGATTGTTTGGATGCTTTTGGTGATTTTGGCTCCTCCTAAGTTGTTTTTAGTGGTTTTTACTGCATTGCTACATGGTTGTCACAGTGTTTGGGGTGGTGTTGACGTGTTTGCCAAGGGTTTCTGAGAGGTTGTTAGCTTGTTGCTGTGCGGTTGCTGAACTTTCGGCATTGTGGTTTTTCATGCATTGATACGTTGTTGATGGAATGTTTCGAGTGGTTGGCACTTGGTTGATGAGATGTTTTGAGTGACTGGTTGATTTGCGGTTAGGTTAGGGTAGGTTAGGGTCCCTCACACGGTTTGCAGCTTGACGTGCTGTGAGGGCTTGTGTGCATCAGGGATGCTGAGAGCTACACCACTGGTACTTCACAACTACTGGTAGGGTCACCCATAGTGGACAGGTCTCAGCTGAGGTGCCAGACGGAGACAAACCACCTTCTGGACAGGAGAGGATCGGCCTGATGTTCTTGGCAGAAGATCACAGTCTTGTGACAATGGCAACAACACCAGAATTACCTGTATGGAAGAAACTTTAAACTGATTACATGTGTGGAAGTCATCGTTGGATCGATGGAAGCAACCGTTCGAACAGAATGGTTTAATATCGGTAAAGGTGCACTACAAGGCTGCATTCTTTCTTAAGCACTCTTGTAACAGCGTCCATCCAATCAAATTTGAGGGCCGGTAATTATATTTTATTGCTTCATAAATGCTTCTATGCGTGTGGTAAACATTAAAAATAAATCACTTCTGAAATTGTTTCTAAATTTAGGCATATGATCACGTAAATTGATTGGAGCATTGAAAATTATGTAAACAATTACTATATACTCTGTATAACAGGTAAAGCAGTAATCTAAAATTCTTAAACCAGAGCTTAAAGGAACACTCCGACTTTTTGGGACTTTAGCCTATTCACCTTATCGCCCAGAGTTAGATAAGTCCATACATACCTTTTTCATCTCCGTGCGTGCTATAAGTCTGTTTGACGCACCCACCGCTAGCCTAGCTTAGCACAAAGACTGGATGTAAATGGTTGCAGCTAGCATACTAATCCAAATAAGTGACAAAATAGCGCAAACATTTTCCTATTTACATGTTGTGATTTGTATAGTCACTGAGTG